AAATGATGATCGATAATATACTAGTCATAGGCTACTGGTTAAAATCAAGAAAAATATACGCTTTAAAGCTTAATCTTAAATAACTTAAAAACGATTTCGTGTCAACGAGTCAAAAAGTAACAAATTTTAAAAACGATAGTAACAAAATTCTTTTCACGAGTGAAATAAAAAAAGTGGATTTCCATTTGAAAAAAATGATTTATGATAATTTTTTAATCGCTCAATTCTGTGACAGCTGCGGCCATTATTATATGACATTCGGACAATTTAATTTTTGACATAGATAGCCACATGTCTACCATGTCTGTTTATGGTACAGTGGCTGTGGCAATCACTAAATTTGACGTTTAGGCTATATACATATTTTTGACAGGCAGTTTTTTTTTCTCCAAAAATTATAAATATTTTTTTTTTCTCAAAAACGGTTAACGTTAGGTATAGAGGTGTTTAATATCAAAATTCATAAAATTTTACAGATAATTTAAGTATGTAATAAAAAATGGGGTCACCCATTTAAAATAAGAAAGTTGCTGTCAAATTCCGGTATCTCCGGTAGTGCCGCCATATTGAAAATATTTTTAATCCATAGATCTCATTGTGAAACAATGATATGCACAAAATCTCGTATCTAGATATTGTAGTTCTCTAGAAACTTCTAACGCAGGCTCAGCCTGGGACACCCTGAATACTTGAATTTTGTCAACCATCATTCAATTTTTACAAAATGTGCATTAGAAGCATATCATTATCTAAACAGACCGGGGGCCACATTTAGCTTCGCCGCCCCGGGCCCCCGACAGGCTTAGTCCGCCACTGCTAAGAGGATTTTATTATCTTTGCCTAATTTGTTCAGCTTCTCTAATCAATTTTTTACTAGTTACTGGTTACTAGTTGATCGCTTTAAATGCTGCTTGAGTATCGGATAAGATGCTTATTTCTTGTTTCCGATAGTTCCTATCTAAGATATGTTGTACAGATCTTTCGATAGCATACTATTTTTTAAAAATATTTTAAAACATGTTACGATTGGTTATTATTAAAAATCTATCATCTTACGATCAATATTAAAATGCCAAAATGATTATGTCACAGGTTTGATTAAAATTACGTCATCATGTAGAATCTGTTCTAACGAGGCGAGGATAAAAAGTCAATTAGAAATAAATTATTGTCGTGATGGAAAAAATCTTTTAGATACCCATCGTTCATCGGCTATGACAGCATCGAATACATTTACGGCCCGGTGTATATAAAGTCCCGCATAGTGAAAAGCAGTTGTGATGGTGAAGGCGTGGTCAAATCTTAGCGCCAAACAACCATCAGGTATAGACCTACGAATGCCGCTCACCTGACGGTTGTGATCTATTCTACAACGATAATGGCCCCAAGTTCATTTGGTCCACGCATAGTGCCTCACGATGCACGGCAATAGTCATAGGCGTATCTGCAGAATAAAAATTTGATTTTATCTACATAAAATTTCCTACAATCGCAAAATTTTTACTACCCAGTTTGCTATTTTTCTAAGGCCTTTGCAGATGTCTAAAAAATAGGCATTATTCGACTTTTTTCCATACATATAGTAATGAAAATTGGAGATTTTGTCGTGTCGCTGATTTTGTTAAAATTAGTTAACAAAATGATTAACTAATTAAAATTTGTACAATAAGAAAATATAGGCCTTTGTTGTCTTACAAAAACAGTAATAGATATATGGGACGTTTTAACGTTTATCAAAAAATAATATACCTGAAAAACAAGAGTCCAAATTATTAATTTTCTCACAAAGCCAAAGTATCTAAGCCTCCAAAGGTTTCCTGAATTTACATAAAATTTCCTACAAACCCTGAAATTTTCATCATTTTTTTTACTATGTTTATTATGTTTCTAAAACCTTTGAAAATGGGTAAAAATAGCCAAAAATAGGCTGTTTTTCGATTTTTTCCATAGGTACATATAATCATGAAAATTTCGCCGATTTTTATAACTCTTATTTACTAATTAGAAAGCGTGGAAAACGAAAATATAGGCAACTGCCACTATGGCCTTGCGTTTGCGTTGCTTTGATGTAAGCAATTTTAACCATCATTGAAATTCGTTGAAAAACAAGAGTTCAAAAAAACTGAAGCATTTAAGCCCTAATAGAGTTATATTTTCTAAATATAAATAAAATTTCCAAAACTTTTAAAATTTTATGACCTGGATACTAGAGCCTCGATCGAAAAGGGCTAAAAAATTGTATTGTGTGTAAAACTGTATTTTCCATACATAAAAATTAGGGGTTTTGGCCATAGATGAAAACCAATTAGCAATAGTGAATGTCAAGTGGGATTTATAATATAAAGTATGTTCTTACGAGCAACCTAGAAGACTAGGCTTATAGTCTTAATATCCAATTGATATTTGTCATATACAAAGAGTCCAATATTTATTTGAAGATTTATATAGATACAGAAGATATGCATCACCCTTTATAAAGATAAAAATAATTAATCAAACAAAGACCTTTTTTGCTTCTAATATCATACTTTAGAACGTTTGGAATGTTATTCAAACATGTTGATGCTTTTCTACTTGGAAATATTTCAGAATTATAATGTGAAATTATTTTTAAGTATAACTAAATATATTACCTACGCCTATGGTAAATGGGGCTGAAGTCGCTGCCGCTAGCTGATTGTCCTTTGTTCCATTCCGCGTTTTCTTTACTGTAGCTTTTAATTGAAGTTTCCCGTAAAAAATAAAAGAAGCTTCAGTTTTAGAAGCTCATCTACACAGCATCCTCAAATTACATGTATGAAAAAAAAACTTTAATAAAAAATTATACCTCCATTTAAAAACAATTAAATAAAAATTTTAGTTATTTTTGAGTTTTACATATAATAATACCAATAAGGAATTAATAAGAAAAATAAAGGAATTGCACTAGATTTTTTAAAATAATATTTAGGGGATTTACTTATAGCTTTTAAATAATTTTTATCTTAGCTGCCATCTATACGGAGTAAGCGAAACTAGAAACTCGATTTACTCCCTCTAGGTATAGCATTATCCTTGGTATTATTGGGATTTTACAGTGATCTGTAAAGAGCTGATATTTAAACCACATTTAAACTAGTATTTTTTCCGTAGATCCTAAAATCAATGATATACATAATAAAAAAATAAGTACTGGTAAATAATTATTATCAATGCAGACTTATGAAGAAACTATATAAGGGTAATGGTGTGGATCCGGTGGCTGACCTTGAAGCCCATATTTGCTGCATTTGATCATCGATATTACGCAAGCGCACATCGTCGATGTTGCCAAATTGCGGTTTATTTTCGAATTATTTGCAGTTGAAAATTTTCTTTTGAGTGTTAATCAATAATAATACAAATTCTCTAATTAATTTTATAATTTCAGATTTATCTTGATATCCAAACTTAAGGAATGATATATAAAATTGAATATATAAAATTGTAATGTTAATAACATTTATTTATATATTTACATTCGAATTAAAAATTATCATTTACGGATTTTTTCTTAATGGTTTTAAACTTATTAGAATTATTTAATTTCTTTCAAGTTATTTAATTTCTAGTTATTTACAGGCAACAATAGTTCTGATTATATGTATTGATGTACTGAAGTACTACCATGACGAGTCTTATAGAACAATACACGTCAATGGGAGATAGAGGTAACATTTTACCTATAATGTTACTAATATAATATACTTTGATTATAATGTTTGTATCATAATTTCTTATAAATATCAAGTTAGTGGATTAATAGCAATTTTAGACATATATTTTATCGAAGAGTGTGGTGATAAACTAAAATAAGCTTTATTTATGTCTTTTTCTCTTTAGAAGGGAGATGGTTTGTGTCGTAGAATACATTACAGTATTTAATATCGTGTAGTTTGATAGTCTTTTCTTAATTTACTCTAATTTTTTGTTTCCTATAATGCCAAATCTTGACAATATGGTGAAGGTTGAGTTTTGATCTTATTATTTTTATACCTGTGTTTATACAAGACCAAATTAAGACTTGGTTAGTTTGTGATTTATATTAAGATCTTTCTTATAATATTTGTTATGTCTTAATCTTAATACTATATTATGCTTTGTCTGGAAAATAAATGTTAAATATCTTAATTTTGCATATCCTATTCCATCTTTCCATTAGGAAAAATATGGTTTATAGATCATATATGCTAAGAAAATCACATAAATTAGGTGTAAGAATAGAGAAATCTTAAGGTAGCAGAAAAATTAATGCAATATATGTATAAGCAGAATTAAACAAGGTAACTGTAAATGTTGCTGAAGCTGATGATTCTACAATTTTAATTACGGAGGCTAAAAGGCCTTTTAAGGCCTCCGTAGTTTTGATGGAATGTTAAAAAAAAACTATTATGAACATGACATGGAGCTACAGCATTTAAAAATTTAAAAAAAAAGAAAAAACTTGGACACATCCCTTTTAATTTCCCGAATTTTTAATAAAGCACTTTTTAAACGTAGCATAATAATCTAGAGCAATTAGATTAATTATAGGAATCTAGAATTTTATTTCTATTTAATTTTATTGACTATGAAAATACATAATAAGCGTTCACGTTTCACGTGTTGTGCAAAATATTAAAATAATAATATAAATAATATACCGCGAGTACTATGATTGAAAAAATAGCGTCAGGGATGACTATGAAATGAAGATCGTTGTCATTTTATATGGGAAATGTACTCAATCGTCATTTCCCGGCCAACTGGACGCCGTTTTTTCGATCATACTGTATATATTGACAAAAAAACACTGAAAAGCACATATTTGTTTTCTACTAAAAATAATTCCAAAATAACTTGCAATCTGGCAACATCGAAGATGTGCGCATGCGTAGTGTCTGTGACTATATGCAGCAAAAACTCGTTTCAAGGTCAGCCACCGGATCCACACCATTACCTATATAAGTAACTAGTATACTTAAGAAAATATATAAAGCTAATTGGCATTAAAAATTGAAAATAATTATTCTAGTATTTCAGTTCATTTTTCGAGATAAAAGGAATAAGAAATACATATACTTGTGATCTTTGGTATTGGATATACATTAGCTGTCAGATTTTTATCCAGCTTTGTTTTTGTTGTGGTGATCGTTTTTACGTGTGCGTAGATATTGTATCAAAATAGTCAATAAAATACGTAAGTATTTAAATTTTACGCAAAAGACATTATATACACTTTATTAAAATGGAAACTATAATTTCTTATCGGGTGTCACTTGACTATTTCTTGCAATAAACTTATACATTTATACTTTTCATTCGAAGTTAAAAGTTTTTTTTCGTCACACTAGAATACAATTTCTGAGCCAAAAAAAGAATTCGGTGCTTTTATTTCAGTTTAAAGAATACGTTAAATTCAAGTACGTAAAATATTTGTTTCACTTTTCATTTTTGATGACTGAGCAAATTTATTTTTGGAAATCTCTTTCCTGGCTCTGTTAGCAGTTGTAAATTTGGTTTAAAAGTAATTAGTAAGTAGTAATATTTTTATTTAATAAAAATGAATTTTGCCATTCTTATCTTAAGATCTTATTGGTTCTATGACATTTAGAAAATACAATTACAATTTAGAAAATAATTTGCTGTCTGTTGTAGAACTATGGATGAGGACAGTGAAGCATTAAATTGGGTACTAGTTGACAAAGTTGATTGTTTAGAACAATCAGAAAATTCTGTCACAACTGTACAAGATTCAGATCATGAATCTGAAACAAGTATCATTACGGTAAGCGAACCATCAGACTCCTCTGATTCTTCAGAGGAGCAGCTAGATGTATTGCAGAAATTAAGCCATGAGACTGATCAAAATACCAACATAACTGACAACTCTGCTGACTCATCTTCAGAAACACTAGACAATGTTTCAGAAGGAACTTCTATGCAGAATTCTACAAAAGAAAATGGATATCAACCTACTGTAAATAGTTAGTGGTAGCTTAGGTTTTCACTCTATTTAACTTTGTAATATTTTAGGATGATGACATGTCTTCTATTTCTACATCTGAGTCTTCAATGAAATCTTGGACTTTTGTAAATAATAAATCTGAACTGGATGTCCAGACTACAAGCAAGCCCTTTTTCCTGGACTGCTCCCAGGAGCCCATCTTAGAAATATCTGATATTGATACTGAGAGTATTCATGATTGCCAATCAGTTGTGAAGAAAGAAGAGTCTATAAGTAACATGTCGAATGCAGTTGCTGAAAGAATACCCACTGACCATCACTCTAATTTTATCCTTAATGGAATGTTCATATCATTCCTATTTTTGACATGCTCAGTTTTTTTTAAATTCTATTTGGATAATATTGAGAGTGAGTATCATTCTCCTCTAAATACCATTCTGGATATGCCCGAAGTTGACAAAGATATTATTAATTTTTGCATAGAAAAATATAAAGATCATTATTCTGATGAAGTTATTGAAAGGTGTTTGAGTAAAACTCTGAAGAAAAAAAAGAAAGATATGTTGAAGAAATCAGAGATCTACCTTCAAATCAAAGAAAGAGTTTTAGAGTTAAGAGAAAGAGAACTAGTTGAAAAAGAAAAGGAAATTCTAAATAAGTTGAAGAAAAGATTGTACAATAGTAACTTGGAAACTGGAGATTTTAAGAAAGTTTATAATAGCAAGGAAAGAAATGAAGATATAGATAATAGAGTTGTCTCATTCGGTAATAAGAAAAAGAAAGAGAAAATAAAGAAAAAGTTTGAAACTGATGATGAGTATGACAGATTTAATAATATAGGAAAGCTAAAAAAGAATAAAAAAAAATTGAATGCCTTCAATAAGAAAGAAAAGGTTAAGATTGGTATTGATGTATGCAAGGAAGATTATGTTAAAAAACATCATGCACAATTCAAAAACATTGACAAAACTAGAAATAGGGATTATAAAAAAGGCAAAATATTGACAGACATTAAGAATAAAATTAAAACACAGTTTACCAAGCCTAAAAATAATTTTAAAAAATCCACGTATCAAGATAAAGCTGATTCAGATGATGAATGGTATATAAAATACAACCCTGTAAAAAACACCATTGAATTTATTAATATTACCATGTTGCCACACCAAGATTCAATTTTAATAAGAAATGGTAATAAAACAATTAATGGGCAATGGTACTTTAACTTGTACGGATCTTCTAGGACAAATTTCAGAAGCACTGAAAGATTTTCTGAGACAAATTGGTATTTCAAGAGAAACCGGTTTAGAGAACATAAAAGGGACAAGGCAAAATGGTACTTTGACTATATGTCTGCCAGAGAAAATAATAGATGGTTCTTTTGAATATTCTATATGTCTACATGTTCTATGTCAATAAAATAATACAGATAAAAATTATACTTATAGTCAATTCAAAAAATATTTTTGTGAAACTAATTTAGAAAATTAATACCATGTACATTACCTACTACCTCTACTTTTTCTCAATTAAGTAATGTAAAAAATATTCTAAATTATTATATATTTTTTAATTCAGTGTAAAATGTCATGTTTTTATCAGTTATTAATTTTTAGACCTAATGTATTCTATTTTTTTTAATCTTGTCTGACTATATGGATCTTAAAATCACTATATATAAGTGTTTACCATAAATCTGTTTTTAAAGTATTAATTTATATTATTTTTTGTTCTGAAAAAAATCTCTCACAATTTATTTTAATCACAAAAATAGGTCATTTCTGACAAAGTGAGTGTAATGTTAAGTTTTTGAATAAAATATTCCACTGAAATATTTTGTATTGATATGAGAAAGGTTCCTATATAGATTGATGTCAGAAATGATAGATAATTGTTGAGTATTTTTAATTTTAGTTGTGAAATGTTACCTAATTTAACACATAAATAAGAATTACTTCTATTGCAATTGTTCAAAATATATTAGAAAATATTCTTTATTGACAGTAGTCTTTTTGCTTCAGATTTGAAATTGTCTGTAAATTAAGAAGGAAAATAAAAAAATATGTTTCTATAATTTTGTTTATTTCATAAAAAAAATACATCAGAAAAATCATTTTTTACTTTAGGAAAAGGCAGATAATGACTAAAAAAAATTTACATCTTACAATGCAGTTTACATAAAATAATCTACTGCATTTGTTTCAGATAGTTCAATCTTCAAAAATAACAAAAACAAAAAATGTACAATTTATCATTAATTTAATTTTAATAAGATTTCTTAAGAAAGCTTGGTGTCCACCTGGAAATCTTGCTTTTTTCTTGTTCCTTCTTTGCTGCTGCTTGGGCCTCCAATTCATCTATAAGCCTTTTCTGTTTCTCCCTAAATGCCATAACAGGATCTTCATATTTGCTATATACTTTTAGCACTTCTCTAACATCTTCAATATCATTATCAGCAATTGCTGTAAAAAAGTGTTATTTAGACTTTATATTTCTAATTATTATTCTCTACAGTTACCTTTGAGAAAACTAACTAAATCTAATAGAGACGTGTCACTATCACTACCATTCCATCTCTTAATGCAGAACAAATTTTCTTGATTAAATTTCACATTATTTGCATTCCAATCGATACAAATAACTTTTGATAAGTCTCTGTTTAGATTGTTTAGACTTTTCACATGGTGTCCTCCAGTAAAATGAGTTGCATCTCTGACTAATTTATATGCTATAATATTTTTAGGATCTATGGCTTCTATTAAAGGAAAAACCGTCATACCCTGTTCTGCAGTGTATACCACTATTTCATACTGATCTTTCAATGATTCCAAAAAGTAATCCAACACTACAATATACTTACATTACTTATGGGATATAAAGATATATAAAAACTGGTATTACATGGTCTCTTTTTAAAGCGCCATCCAGTATTATATGTCCAATCAGGATGGACTAGAACATCAGTTAATTCTAAAACTAAAGTATACTTGGGTTGAATATAAGGATACGGCAATGTATCTGGTAACAATTTTTCTCTTGATGGCTCTTTAATAAGCTGTAAATGATGCAGTTAATTAAATTTGTTTTTTAGAAACAAATATAACATACTCTCCGATAATATTCTAGTTCCCTAAAAGTTCTCATCAAATAGGCTTTTATAAGGGGTTTGTCAGAAAATTCATCCCTAATTGGAACACCTTCTTCATCTTTATCTGGCGCCCCCAATGTAACGACGAGATAAGTCCCGAAACATGAAAAACTGACTCCAAAAAATATCAAGGCAAGTTTCATTGTACGCCATGACTGTTCTCTCTGTTTTTGGGCTTCTTGTTCTTCATTTTTATCTGTATCAGCCTGCTGTTTAGTACTGCTTAATAAGTTCCCTAAAGGAGTCTTATATTTCGATTCTAAAAATAAAATCCGTTTAAATATACCCTGAAGCTTTGTTTCTTTAAACAAATACCATTGCAAAAATATCTACAATAAAAATTATGGTGTATCTGTACTGCTGCTCTGTAGCTTTTTTCATGGAAAAAAGTATGAGAGCTCTGTTTAGTAATATTATTTAAAATAGTAATAGATCTGGAAGAAAACCGAAACATTTTCCGAATTAATATATAACCTCATTTCTTAGGAAGCCACACTTTTCTTCTAAAAATGTCATTTTTGAGCCACAGATTTTTATTATAGATATAGCAGATTAGTGTATGTTTGGTTGCCTAATGAGGATATCCTTTTCTAGATTTCGAGTCTGTTTTACAGATTTTACATGTAAAATATTTTGTGTAGATGGCACTGGCTGTGCTTAAATTACAGAAAATTTTGACAGCGTTTCTAACCTATCTTTTACGAATAATATAAACACATTGTGCTTCATTGGGTAAAGATTCTTTTAAGAACGTTTTTTAATAATGGAAAATGTAGAATTGTCTGTAAACTTACATAAGTTCGACAAAAACTTGCTCAAGAACGTCACGAGATCTAGTATCGGTGATCATGCTTGTTGTTTTATGACTGAAAGGAACGAGCTCTGTGTTGCTGACAACTTTAAGGATATAAAAATTATTGAACTAGCAGAATATTTGAATGACAATATTGTACAAGTGAAATATCTCAGTTTTTGGCACTGTGTTTTCGTAGGAACAGAAAACAGCTTTATTATAACTGATTTAAAAACTAGTAAAACTGTTAATCTCCAAACACCAACAAATAATATCACATACTTATCATGGAACCCTAATGAGACATGTCTTATAGTAGTGGATAAATTAGAACATATATTTGCACTAAATTTTCAAGTTGTTATTACTAATGAGTGTCCAAAATTTAAATTTATCACATTAAGAAAAGCACATTTGAATGATCCTGTTCCAAACTCTGTTTATGTGGGTTGGGGCTCGCATAACACTCAATTTAAAGGGTCAAAAAAAATACAGGAACAAACTGTCATAGAAAATCCACAAGAATACAGTTTTCCGAAAGTTTCATGGAGGGGTAATGGAGAACAATTTGTAATAAACTTTTGGAGAGAGTCAAAAAGATTTTTGAAAGTGTTTGACAGTAATTTGAACCCCTTATATCAGTCTGATGTATATCCAAATTTGTTACCTATAACATCGTTTAAAGGACAGGGTAACTTTATAGCGTGTGCTTCTGAATATAATGAATTTAACAAAATAGTTATTTTTGAAAAGAATTGTCTTGTAAAGTCTGAGTTTTTAGCAAAACATATTAAGGTAAGTTAATATAGTATCTTTTTAAAGAAATCTGGAAGGTAATTTATATTTTTTAGGGAAAAATAAAGGATTTACAATACCATCCTGATCTGCATATCTTATCTATTTTTAGTGAATGTACAGAGAATATCGGGTATCTTAGTGTTTATTTATATTCGAATGGACATTGGTATCTCAAGCAACAATTAAATTATACACATGATAAACAATTAATATCATTTTATTGGACAAATTGTTATGATAAAAACTATTGTAATTTGATTGTTTTGACCAGTGTTGATATTGAGCAACATTTTTTTAAACTAATTTTTGATAGATCTTTAGAATCTGGTCTTATAGCTTCTATCGATGGAGATAAAATTAATTTTACAAATATTTCAGAACAAATCATCCCTCCTCCTATGTCATCTTTTGTCTTATCTTTTGACGAAATAGTAAACAGAGTTATTTTTAATGATGGGGCTTTGAATACCTGTCATATAATTTTATCAAATAATTCTATAAAAAGTTATTTAATAAAAAATTGTCATTTAGAGGAATTTGCTGAAGGCTCTAGTTTATTTTCATCGTTAAATAATGCTTTTAAGCACTCGTCAGATTCTATAAGCCTATATTCTAAGGAAATCTCTATTAATAATGCTTCTTATAATTTTTCTTTAGATACAAATAATGATTTGATAGTAGATGGAAATATAATTTGTAACAATGTCTATTCAATGATTATATTTAGGAACTATTTATTGTTTACACATGCTTCAAGCAAACTATACTGTATTAGACTGAATTTAAAAAATATTTCGGCATCTAAGTGGGATTTAAAGAATTTTTATTCAAGGGAAGTTGAACAAGGTGCTAAAATTCTTAGTATAACAAACACCTTTGACATAGTATTAATTTTACCTAGAGGAAATTTAGAAACGATAACGTGCCGCTTAATTGCTATTGATATAATTGAAAAATTATTAGAAGCTAATAGATGGGATGAGACTGTTAAAGAGATGAGAAAACAAAGGCTAAATTGGAATTTGTTAATTGACTTAAATCCAGAACGATTTTGTAATCATATTGATAAATTTATAGAGGCTGCTAGCACAATTTCAGTTTTAAACTCAATAGTTTCTGAATTTTCCTCTGAAAATTGCCTTAAAACTATGTATTCTGAATGTTTAAATAGCGAAAAAGGGTTCTCAGACATTGACAAAAAACAAGTGATATCAAAAATCCTTGATAAAATAATAACTCTAAATCCTATAAAAAACTTAATCAGCGTTGTCATGCTTCAAATAAAACATTTTTCTTTAAAATCAGCTCTATATTCTGTATGCCAGGTTTACCAAATTGGGGATATGGAAATTTGTAAAAAATCAGTCAATCAAATATTACTTCATCATCATGTTAAAGACGTTGTTAACGAATCTTACTGTCTTTATAATTTAGGGTTTTTGAGTTTTATTTATACTTGTTGTTCTGAAGATCCTCGTGTTTTTGAACCGGAAATAGAGCAACTTAAAGACCTTGACGAGATACATTTAAGATTTAAAATGAATGAACTAGGTAAAAAATTTTCAACTGCTACTAAATACCTAGTAAGATGTTCAAATTATGACTCAATATTTATCAGAAGTTTTATTACAAAACATGTTACACAGCATATAGCTTATCAAAGTCTAACACCTAAGCATGCGAATTTTAAATTAGCCTCTGAGCTTTTTGCTACATTTTTATCAATGAGATCTAAACATAATGAGGCTGGGTTTGTCTTAGAAAGGGCGGGATTATTACAAGAATCGTTAAATCACTATCAAAAAGCTCTTAATTGGCAAAGACTATTAATTTTGTTTCAAAACTTAAATTTGGATCAGGATTCTAGAAAAGATATTTTGTTAAATGTTGCAAATAATTTAGTCTCTCAAAAGAGACTAGAAGAAGCAGTTATAATATATGAGTACTACTGTGATGAAAGAAACAAAGCTATTGAAGTATTGACTCAAGAACGAAAATTTTTACAGGCGATGGCCCTAGCTAAAAAATATAACTATAAGGAGGTTATCGGTAATAAGTTTTTTTATATATTTAGTAAAATTACCATATTTATAGTAATTTATTTTAGAGAATGTAATAATTCCTTCAATCATAACATACAGAGAAGACTTGTTGGATAGAATAACAGAGCTAGGAGATAAATTTTCCGAATATTCAGCAAGATTACAGTCTCTCAGAGAAAAGAAAATATATAAATTAAAACAAAGAGGTTTAGAGGTTGATGGATTCATTGACAATGACGATCTTCATAGTGAATATGGCAGTATTATTTCAAGAGATTCATCCTTAAGGTCTAGCAGTTCTAGTTTGGGGTATTTATTTTACTTTAGGGCTTTCAAAACTATATAAATATGGTTATTTTTTTCTCTAAGGTCAACCCAGTCTTCTAGAAATCGTCGCAAGCAAGAAAAGAAAAAAATCGATTTAAGAGAAGGCGGCGTTTTTGAGGATATCGCTCTTATAAGACAGTTATATCTTTTGATTGTTGATATTTTTGGTTGTGGGCAAGAAGTTAAAGATATTTCTTCGATTTTGACGGACGAAGAAAGTTTTGGCTACGCCAAATTACTGAATGAAAAATTAAAAAATATTCAGGATCAAGTAATTTTAGAAATTCCAAAAATTTGGTGTGATACATTTTTAAATGCTAATGAATCTCCAGAGCCCGATGTTTTAGGCATTATTCAGAATAGGTCTGAATTAGGTAGGTTGGTAAATACTGCTTATTTATTCAAGTAAAATATATAATTATTTCCGCGTGCGTGATCGTGATATTGATTATGAAAATGTATATTTAACTTGAAAAAAAAAATGAATAAGTAGTAGAGTAAATATTGAGTTGATACTAATATAAAATATTTAATTACTTTATAGATATCCAATTCAGGAGTCCACCTTCGTCAGAATTATTGACTAGGAACTGGAGCACGCTTATATTTTCCTAAAGAGTTATTTTTTATGTACATAAATAATATATTTTATCGATTTGGATTTATCGTTTATATTAAAAAAATTGTTTTTAATATAAAGTCTTCTCTTATTTTAACCCAAACCTTTTTAGTAATGGCTCATCTTGAACGCTGACGTATTTTTAATTAAGTTTCCGCAATGGTGTACGTCCATTCTTTAACCGCTTAGCTTTATCTGCAGTGTAAAAATATCGATTATAGCGCCTCTAGCTTACTGCAATATTATACATAATGTATAAATAATCTATGGTGTGGCTTTTCCTCTTAGTGTTTAAAGTTATTTGCGCTCTTAAACTTATGGATCCAGTGATCGAATTTAAAGAAAAATGTGTCAATTTTTATTTCATTTAATTGTTGTTTTTGTATCGTTTGATCAAGCATGTAAGTCGTTATTTTAATTGTGCCCCTTGTTACAAAACGCTCGTTTTAGTGTCTTTTGAAGAAAATTGCACGGATTTTCAAGGATACGTAATCGAGCATGGCAATTTATACGTACCAGGACCCTCTGTATGCTCTCTGTGCGTCTGCTATCACGAAGTGCCTAAATGGTGTCAAAATATTTATTGTGATCCCCCCTACGTAAGTTTTCCTGTGATATTTCCAGTGCCAACGGAAAAACTATGCTTGCTTTCCGTTTCAGTTTTGCAAGAAGTTTAGAATGAGAGAGAGATGTTGCGATTTTGAATGTTTAGATCCTGCCGGCGACATTGCAGCGAAAATGTTGGAAAAATATCGTGCGTCTTTGAACGTTTCCACCACGAATTTTCCAGATATTTCTTTTTATTTTGTTTTAACGGGTTTACTGTGTATTCTCATTAATTTTAAAATTTTCTAGCTATCTACTCTGATTTATAAGTTATCTTAAAAATCTTCTACTTTCCTACAATTCAAATGTATTCCTCGACTTTTTTGAAAACTTTTTTGCTTTGACATCCTCTTTAGATGCAACTGTTTTGCTTATGCTTTTCTGATAATACCTTTATAGTTTAAGAGAATTTAGACTTTTGCTTGATGCCTTGTTATAACTATTATTGAACATATTGTTGCATTTTTTAATGCAACCTTAAGCTCTATATACACATAACGTTTTACCTTACGTCTTACCTGTTCAGTCGTACCGTATCAAGTAAAACCTTATGTGTAACCGAAAAAGGAAAATTTTACTAGAACCAAATTAAGGCGGAAGATCGTCTAAAGAACTAACGGAATCATTCAGTCTTATAACAAAACTCGTTTTGCTTACACTGAAAAAAAAATAAGAAGTAAGTTTATAAGAAATAATGAGATTATATGACAGCATCTTTAATGAACGACTTTTAAAAATGTAAGATTTTTACTTAGTTTGACAAAATAATATAACTTTACAAAATTGTTTAGAGATACCTATTTAATGATTATTACTAAACGATACTATTTTCAGTTTTTTAGCTTTGCGTGTTTACAAACCAAATTTAAACCGTAAATACAATTTTGTAGTGGAAGTTCCATGTTTTTTCTTTGCAACTTAACAACTTTAACACTAATAATGCTGTCATTGATAAAATCGCAGAGATTTTTTTTACACTAGCCTTTAATCTGAATTGTGTCTTGTTTTGATTTTTTATTATACTGGGTGAGTCTAATAAGTATAAATATTTTTACTGTTAGTATATTTCGACCCTAGAAATACTATGTCTATGAGGTTTTTTCCCAAGAAAATTAAATTTGTGTCGGATTTTTTTTTTAATTTTTAGTTTAAAAATATAATATTTTCATAATATGGCAACATAGGTAGTAGATTAAATTTACAAGAAAGAAAACCCAGAAAAGATACAGTGGTTCTTAAAAGCGAAAAATCATTTTTTTTTTAATTTTCAAAATAAAATATCTGGGTTATATTGAACTTATTTGAAAAACGACAAAGAGGAAACATATGCTTCTTTTATCGAAATCTACCAACCCTGAAAATATTTGCACTTATTTAAGATTCACCCTGTATAGTGTAATTTTTGTTTTTAACTATGTTTCTATAAATTATTTAATATTTTTTGGAGGGTTGGGGGTCAAATTAATGATGTGTATTAATAAAAACTCTGGATTCTATGAAACTAATAGTTTATTCGTTGAATGGGATAACATGAAACTGCATATTTGTTTTTTTTTCGTCAAAATATATAACAACGCTAAGGATTTGAAAACAGGCTAACCTATGCAGATATCATATTTTACGTTTTGTATATTTATTAAGGTATATTTATTAAATTATATAATATATGCTTATAAAACTTGTGAAATTGCAGAAAACTCTAACAATTTGGACCTCTGAAATATATAATGCTTTAAGGTGCACCATATACTATATCACACCAGCATATCCACCAATTATACACTATTTACTTATAATAGGAGGGTGGTCAATGCTTGTTCCAAATTATAAACAACCGAACAATGTTTAAAAGAAAATATTATGATTGTTGAAATAGATACATATTATATACTGTTTGTTGAAAAACGAATTTAATTCTAAATATACAATTTTTTATATGATCAATTTTTGTTTGTTTATTCCACCCTACTACTTTTTGGTTCTGAATCTTCTTATCCAGATATTTTTTTTATAGACTACATATATTTAAGTACATACATGGTAGTCTTTTAAGGTAGAAAGTTTGTTCTGTTTCTGATGTAGCAGATCTATAGCATTTTTGATCTTATGTTCATTAACTTACTAGATTTAATTTGATTAAAATAACAAAGGTGTTGCTCGAACACATGGATAACCATTATTTTTATATAATAAAAAATACTTTGATTCAAGAAGAAACAGTTTTTCCTAATCTCTCTGAAGATAGAAACAATAAATACCGAAGATAAATATTTACAGGAATTTTTTAACACCTAAAAATAATTAACAGGTTTTTTATACAATTAACTAAAGCAATTTTAGAATGAAATCCTAGATAAGCCACTACCAGGCATTTTTTTGACATTTAGCGGTCCCTTATTTTTTTACAATTCTTTTTGAAAAATGGAAAAAAAACAGCTTATAAAATTTTTACATCTCATTTGTGGAAGTAATTTCTTAATGTAAATGCCTAAATTATGACTAATTTTTATATCTTTAATACTATTAGTTAACAGCTTCAAAAATTAACTTTCCTCTAGTTTACTAACGGAGAGTTAATATTTGAAACTGCTATAGATATAGTAAAGTCTATGGTATTTGTATAGCTGGTAAGCTTAGTTTAATTCTGTCAACTCTAACATTATTGTTTGCAATATAGTATTATCAAAATGTTTTTTACATATTATTTTTACACCCTGCTTTCTGCCTAACAATGGGTTCAAGTATTTAATTTTATACATCTTGTTATTCAGAATATATTCACATAGTCTTGTGTGATTATATTTTATATAATAAAAAATTAATCTTATCGAATACCTATGTAGTTTGTACAAGGGTTGAATGTGATTTATACTAAATCTAATCGATTTAAAATTATATATAGATCAAGTAAAACATTTTTATTATACTCAAAATGAAATATGCTCATCAAATGTACGATTTTACAATATTTTTTTTATAATAATTTTGATAGTTGAGAGGGAGAACACTAATTATTGTATGTATATATTTTTGGAAAATATATTTTGCTTGAGTATCAGGCTAATTCAGAAATATGTTTTCAACATTGAATCATGTAGTGCTTGTGATGTTTATTTTCTAGCAAGTGAATAATATGGTTTATATGTGTTTATTAAGTTCTTAACTTAAATAATGGTATTTTACAAAGAAGGTAGGATTATAGAGGATGATTGTAGGTAAATTTACCTGACTGTCTTAACAAAGTTGATCTCAAAAAATATAAAAAATACTGTAATCATATCTTTGTCTATCTACATAAAAATGACTTAAAAAATTATGTTTCTTTTTGAATATATTGTAATAAAAAACATGATGTGGTATTTATGAGATGATTAGAAAAATATACAAAGTGTGTGCTTTTGGCATTGTATCATTCATGGCACTTATTTTTACAGTGGACCAATGATGTCAGAACATCTTTGATCGCTTTTTTAAAATTTGTTTAGAAGAAATTCGTTACTGGCACTTCTAACATACCTCTTTTCTTTTTATTGGTGGTTAATTATTTTATATAATTTTTGGCTTTATGTAATATTTAACCTTATATATCGATATGATTATAGCATTCTTTTTTTTAATGAAAGATGAAGTCAATGAAATTAAATTCTACATGACCGTTTCTTAATACTGTACTTATGTATGGTTCTAAATGTTTTATATATATTTAAAAAATGTATAATGTAAGTCTTTGTATTATTTAAATGAAAGGAAAATATATTCGTTTTATTTTTACAATATATGTTAGGCGTTTATACCTTATATTTCACTATACAATTTCGTACTTTTTCATTTTCATATTGGAACTGGAAACGGCTCACCTAAAGGCCAGCAATATTTTTAAAATTTAAATAATTCTCAGAGTATTAAAAAAATTAAGACATAACAGTAAAATATTTATCGTTTAAAACTGTTTCTAAAAATATTTTAAAAATTCTACTAGCCTTTTCGTAAACTTGATTAAAACCATTGTTAATTTGGCTACTTTATTTTATCATAGTATCTACTAGGACTCTTTTATAAAGGACAGCTAATATAAACAGTATCCAAAATCAACATTAATTTAAAAAATTGTTGTAATATCAGACCTAACAGATTAGAAAATAAACCGGCGTCACAGTAGTCTTTGAAATAACGTCCGCAACCCGAATTTTAGTTAATAAAATCATCAATAGACATCATATATATGATTCCTGGACTACGAAGTTTTCTAAGATTTATTTGAGGTAGGATTTGTAGAATAAATTTATTTTATAAAAAATAACATAGTAAACACTACAATACCTCTTTTTTATTGTTTAATTTTAACTCAGGGGGAACACAATGGTCACCCTATATATGCATATAGTATATAGTATTAAAAGGCCTTATATTTTTTATGAAACATAAATATAGTTAAAAGAGAAAGTGTTAGTGGTAAAATGTATTATTTTATTTTGTCGATACTATTATACAGGGTGAGTCTTAAGTAAGTGCAAATATTTTTAGGTTTCGTATATTTCGACCCAAGAAACACGTCATAGTTTTTTTTTCGCCAAAAAATTGATAATTTGGAAATATATGTTTTTAAATTTTTAAAAAACAAAGTACCTTTATAATACGGAAACAGGTAGTAGATTAAATTTATAAGAAAGAAGACCCAGAAAAGATCCAATGGTACTCAAAATTTAAGCGAAAAATTAATTTTTTTTAATTTTTAAAGTAAAATGTCTCTGTTATTTTGGGCTTATTTGAAAAACGGCAAAGAGAAAATATGTTTATTTTATAGAGATCTACCAGCCCTGAAAATATTTGCGCATATTTAAGACTCACCCTGTATAACCATTCGATAGTAAATTCTGATATTACATACACTTTTTTGTATTAGCTTTTCTTACTCTATATTTTAATTAATTTGTGAACGAACTTATTGAAGATTTACTTTTTTCATTTATTCAAATAAAAATAAGCGTTTTAAATTAAAATCTCGTCCTTTTTATAAAATAGTCCTTAACAAATACTACAATAGTTGGCTTATCCCTAGCTTTGTGTTGTGGTTGTTGCCGGTCTGGACACGTTTGGCATCGCAGCGGGTCCTGGCCAGGGACAGGCCGGGGGGACGCTCCTGGATTGTTGCAATCCTGCAGCAGATTCTGGATGCAGGAAGTTTCTCCTCTGCTCTATCTTCTCTTGCTGAAACAAAAAGTCGAATTATATATTGTAGTCATAGCTATTTACCGTCAAGTCATTAGTTATTACCGTCAAGTCAAGACAGCCAAAATTGAATTTAAGTATACCTATTTTTTAATATTAATATAATTTTTCTTGTATTATCGATTGCTGATTTCCTTATTACCTATATTATTAATTTATTGAAGGTGTAAATCAGACTAAACCACGTAAAATAAAACAATTCTTTTTTGGAATAACTGCAAACACAAAAATATGTTTTTTTTTATAAAATTTAACCGATTTTGTAGTACTTTATATGTATATACAGGGTGGCGTCTATATATATACATACGACATATATACAATACGACGCGGAGGCTCCAAGGAGAACGAGTTTGTATTGAAATGAAATTTTGTGAGCATATGTAGGTTAATTCAGAACACTTTTTTAAAAATATAGAGTGTTCTACAGGCGCTGTCCCCAAAAAAAGTTACACATCAAAGTTGTTTTTTATAATGTTATAATGGAACACCCTATACAGGGTGTCCCAGAAATAAGTGCAAGTATTTTAACTGGTAGTATAGTTCAACCCCAGAAACACGCCTATGAGGTTTTTTTCGCGAAAAAAAAATTTTGAAAATTCGAAATTTTTTGAACAATTTTTTGGATTTTTTTTTTTAGTTTTTAGTTGAAAAACATAATTTCTTGATAATATGGCAACATAGGTATTAGCAACTCAAAATTTTAGCAAATAATTTTTTTTTGGAAAATTTTCAAAGTAAAATAACTCCGTTATTTTGGACTTATTTGAAAAACGAAAAAGAGAAAATATGTTTTTTATCGAGATCTACCACCCCTTAAAATACTTGCACTTATTTCTGGGACACCTTGTATATTAATTGATTTTTGGATTCTAGGACAAAAATAAAGGTGAGTTTTGTTAATGAAGTATATGACTGAAATGGTAAGGTTTTTGACTTTTTTTTTGATTTAGCATTTTCTAAAAATGAAGAACAGTTTTGAAATGCCAATAAAAGCTACCTAAATTCGAATTTACCCGGTATAGCCCAATATGTTGTGAGAATAACAATTGTACTTGAAATCAAATTAAAACTTGACCCAAAAAGTTATACAGGGTGAGACAAAATGAATATTGAACATTGGTCACCTTCAATAGCAAATTACTCTTATATAAATGAAACACCCACTATATTATTTCGATATTCAATGGGGAATTCATGTTAATAAGGTTGCCTACCCCTCAAACAAAGATTTTCTTAGATACTTTCATTTTTATGATTTAGTGTCAGTAGATATTTATTATTTGATAAAATCTATGTGTCGGGTGATAGGTCTGACGTTACTTCAACATAGCTGTAAAATTAGTTCAACTTTAACAACTAGTTATCATCACCCTATAATATATGCACTCTCCATTGAATACCGGTATAATATACTAGGTGTTCCATCTAAAATAAAGGAGCAACTTGCTTTTAAAAGTGGCCAACGTTCAGTATTAATTTTGTCTCACCCTGTATAACTTTTCGGGACAAATTTTATTTTGGTTTAACATACAATGGTTATTGTAATTAAATATCAGGCTATACAAGGTAAATTACAATTTAGGAAGCTCTAATTGAATTTTAAAATTTATTATTCGTTTTCATAAAATATGAAACATGTCAAAATCCTTACAATTTAGGCATATGCTTCTGTAATGAAACCCACCTTTATTTTTTTCCTAGAATCCGTAAATCGTTTTTTGATGCGTAACTTTTTTTAGAGATACCCTGTAGAACTCTATATATTTTTATAAAATGCTTTTTTAACCTACATATACTTCCAAAATTTCATTTCGATATAAACTCCCGTTCCTCTTGGAGTCTCCGCGTCGTATGAGAGGCGCCACCCTGTACTATCTTTTAATTTTTTTTAAAGACAATACATATTTCTATTTCGAAATAAAGACTTAAATTACAAATCATTTTGTAAATTACTTAAATTTTAAATCTTTTGAAAAATTAAATTATTAAAATGATTTAAATCGAAAAAGACTTGCAGCTCTGATTGTAGTGTGTAATATAGTAGTTTATTAAATATCACTCACCTGCGTCTGTATTCTCGAAGCTATTAAGTCCGGAAGAAGATCTAGCTGTTCTTGCAGGGCAGATAGTTTTTCTTCCATATTTGTTAGGCGGTCTTCCAACGTGTCCTGCCTGGTGCTCATATCGGAAACTATTTCATATACGGTATTTTGCGTCTAAAATGAAGACCCGAAGATATATTTATTATTTATTGTAGCCGTTGAAATTTGAAATCGATAAAGTCACTCGGATTCATGTATAATTGGAAAAAAGCCCGTATCGGGAAATGCCATAACGATGGATTTTCGACAATGGGTTTGGAATCGAATGAAAAACAGAATTGGACAGATTTATTAGTCGTATAAGTAAATTCTGTGGCAATACTGTTACGGGGACTTTTACTTGATTAAAATTTTCAAAAAAGATCTTTCTGGAATTTTTATTCAATCAGTTAGGTATCTACATACCGTATGATCGAAAAAAGAAAACTTATTCGTCGTTTATTATAAATTGACATAAAAACGTATCAAAAATTAATATTTTATAATATTAATAGTTGTGAGTTTCTGAAAACTTTTTAGCTATTTTCAATTAAATACATTTAAAAAAAAATCCTCAGATTTGCTTTACTTTGGGACTCTTAAGGTACATTCATGCTGAGAGCGTCGCGTCCGCGTGTCGAAATGGAATCAATTCACTTAATTTAAATGACCGTTCAGGCCGACAGCGTCGCGTTTGGCGTTGCGCTAGCGTCCGCTGAGTGTCGGGGTTCGAGTTCTCAGCTCGACGCTCGACGCTCTCAGCCTGAATGTACCTTTATTGACATTCGACACATATAATACTCAAACTTACCTTTGCCATGTCTGTGATTGTATTGGCATTATCCATGAGCTTTCTTTGATCCATCTTTACTTTTCTTAGTCTAAAAAGATAAGTAATTTATTGAATTATACCTTGGTGTCCTTGCTTTTAACTTACGCGTATATAGCAAGCAAAAATTTTCTTTGGTGTGTCCGAACTCTACCTGGGTTAACTCTTTTCACTAGCCTTGTATGCTTGTATATCAACCATGTTTCTCTTAGAACATTTGCTGCAGCATTTTTTAACTGAAAAAATACAAAAAATTGAGTAACATTATTTGTTTATTTTATTTATTCCAGGTATGTTATCAGAACTATAACCACGGCTATAACAATACAATACACCATTATATGTGTTATTATTTCTGCAGACTGAACAAATAAACATTTCAGGATATTTTCACCGACTGTAAGAAAGACAAAATCAAAGTTAATGGGAAGTTTTGCGAGGAAACTTCTGATTTTATTCTTTCTCTGCCATTAAACTGATCCAATCGATAAAACCTCTTAAAGTTAACTCCACTTATCTACAAGGTATCTTTGACAAATTTGTAACAAAAGTTTCATTAGAGATAAACCTGTTAAGTGCTTTCAGTTTTAAAGCTCTTTTAAACTTTTCTTAATAAGTTATTACAGCTGAATAAATATTTTCTGGTATATTTCTCAAACCGTTTCGTATATTTTTCTACCGATTAATAATTTATAATAATTACTTTACTTGAACGTTTTTATTGCACACATTACTTTTTTATTAAGTTTGAGCCGTTAAAAATGGTTGTTATTGCAGCTCAGTTGAAGCTAGAAACTTTTCTCGATTTAAATGCCTTGCCTCACTAACTTCTGCAACTTTTTACTATAACAAAGTTATTTGAAACCATGAACGGAGAAGAAGGTTCTATTTGTTCGCATTTTTTATATATATTTCTTTTAAGCTAAACATTTCAAAATTATTTTAACTTGATGAAATTTTATACGAGAAGTTGTTACGTACCTAATTTTTTAGTTTTAAATTTCCAGCTGTACAATATTATGTTCAAAAGAAAATTTTTTAATAATTTTACATTCTTTTTGTCGAGCTCTGCTAAAAATCTTAAGTGTTCCTTTGCTTTTTAAAGTTCATATTTCAAGTCTGAGAAATCCATAATTTTATCAAAAGACGTCTGTCTGTATGATAAAGAAGAGTCTGTATAAATCTACGCGTATACTCTCAAAACTTTCTGAAATCCAGCTGAAACTAATCTAATTCCTTACAAAAAGGAAATGTAAACATTGTCTGAACTTTCGGCGTGTATGTTCCCCACTATATTTCATTTAGAAGGAAATTACATCGTCACATTATTCAGCAACATTAAATCGAAGTTTTCCAAAGGTATCGATGTTTGATTTCTTTTTAATATAACTATGAATATGAATAACAAAGTTCATATTTCAAGTCTGAGAAATCCATAATTTTATCAAAAGACGTCTGTCTGTATGATAAAGAAGAGTCTGTATAAATCTACGCGTATACTCTCAAAACTTTCTGAAATCCAGCTGAAACTAATCTAATTCCTTACAAAAAGGAAATGTAAACATTGTCTGAACTTTCGGCGTGTATGTTCCCCACTATATTTCATTTAGAAGGAAATTACATCGTCACATTATTCAGCAACATTAAATCGAAGTTTTCCAAAGGTATCGATGTTTGATTTCTTTTTAATATAACTATGAATATGAATAACAAAGTCTTCCCGTGACATTATATTTAATGATTTATTTTCAACTAGTGATTACCTCCTGTCTTTACTTGGGTGGTAGAGACTTATAAATATATATATATATATATATATATATATATATATATATATATATATATATATATATATATATATATATATATATGTTTCCTGATAACTTATTAACCCAGAACAACAGTTAATTCTTTTAAATTATTGGAAGTGATGATGTTAACACGTTTTTACTGGAAAAAACTAAAAGTGTACATGGAATACGGAACTAAGCTTACAAGCAGAATGGCTCTATTTTGGGGTAATTGCACGTGCAGCTGTAAAACTACGTGATAGCCTTGTAGGACTTAGAGAAGTGTTAATAATATCATTTGTTTTTTTTTCCTTTTATGGAATTTGTTAAAGAACTTATGTATTAAATTTTTAAAACGTTAATAGCTTTGATGGAGATCCCGGGAGAGACAGTTTTAGCTCGGCTTATTTTGTCTTAAGATGAAAAAACCGAGTTTTTATATCGCTGAAAAAAATATTATAAGTTATACCGTATGATCGAAAAAAACGGTGTAAAAATTTTACATATAAAATAACCGCGATCTTCATTTCATAGACATCGTTTTTTTTATCATGCGGTATTTGTCGTATAAAATCTATTTATCATACTATAATAATCAATATATTGCATACGACAATTATAATTAATGTAATTTTTTAAATTTTTATAAAAGTTTTAAGTGACTTATTTAATGATAAATTTAGGTCTGAAGAAAAAGGATATATCGTTTTATTTCATAAATAATAATTTCGAAAATTAAATATACATATGCTGTGGCGGTAGCAAATTTAGATTTCGAGCAATATACGTCAGATTTGGGGGACGTTTTAACCACAAAACAGCATTAACTGACCGGGGTTTTGTAACCAAATAGGGGAATTACTTTAATTTTATTTTCAGCCCAGAAAATCCCTTTAAAATATTTCCGCTTTTATGGGCACAAATAAAGGACGTTCTATGTAATCTCACCAAATCCGTTCAGCAAAACACCTACTTTTGCGATTATATTTTTTCGAAAATCTTGTCGAGTGCCGTTGAAACTACAGTTTTAAATTTAAGCCCGTATATAATACTCTTTTGGTCACACATATAATACTCATTTGGTTTTTTATTAAAACTACTTTACTATTTATGGGGTACTATATTATTAATTGATTTTATAAGTCAGATTTAAAATACATTTTCTCTAACGGGTAAAAAATAGCCAAAAATTGTAATTTTTCGACTTTTTTCCATACATATACCTAGTCAGGAAAACTGTTGATTTTGGTGATGCCACCGATTTTGATAAAACTACTGTAATTTGCAATTAAAAGGCCTTGCATGTAGTGGAAGGGGGGTTAATCAACCGCGACTTTAAAGAAATATTGTGTCCCCCTTTCTTGAGTTAAGATATTATCATTATACAGTCTATAACTCATCATACATCTTCCTATTGTAGCTGGAACAGGGTATTTCCCATCCTTCTTTGACAACAGAGGTTCTATTATGCAATATACAAACCTCCTACGAGGATATACACTCTTCCACGGTTGGGGTTTAGCCCTCCGTGCCCTTCAGAGTCGAGGAGCTTGTCTCCGGCTGAGGTACCCTTGAGGTTGAGGCTGGAGGATCTGTCTCCATTTTCTCCACCTCTTTAACTCGGTCTCTCCTTAGACCTGATACCGGTGTTGTCCCAGATCTATAGTAGAGGATATTTCTCTTTCTCTATTGCCTCCTTGTACTGGCACTCGAGTTGATGACTCGCCAACTCGACGTTCTTCTATTGGAGTTCTGGCAAAATTTTGGCAAAAAGATTTAGGTTTTTGGTGAGGTTGTCTCCTCTTGGTCCGGGCGGTTAAGTTCTATGAATTGACAGCCAGGGACACGACAGTGAGGTTCTCCTTAGACCCAGCCAAAGTGCTAAAGGTGATTCCCCGTAGCACCTGAGTAGGAGCTTCCCCACCAACGACAAGATGTGACATCTCCTAGAGGAAGTAGAAAGCATAGAAAACGAAAATATAGGTCATTGTGGCCTTCAGTTCGTATGTTGGTCACATAAATCTAGTTTTCCCATTAAAATCACTCAATTTAAAATATATTTGATCTAAATTCGTACTAACTATTCTCATCCAGAACCTCCTGTATTACGTAAATTATTACGTACTAATACTAAATAATTACGTATTACGTATTAAATTAAATTATACGTCTGTAAATTGAACGCGACATACAATCCAACATTATTATAACCATCTAAGTGGAAAATGATGAGAACTTACCCGCTTCGTTAGCTGTGTGTCCATCATGAAGTTGTGAACGTGTTTTTCAGCTCTTGTTAGCTCTAACTTCCTAGAAACTACCGCTACTAATAACGCTGTACATCCTGCACCCTGAAACAGTGGTTTTTGGTTTGTAAATCAGCAGTGGCGTATCTAGGTTGAAATGCGCAAGGTTTACACCGAAAAAAAAGTCGCTCCTATGGGAAGGGAAATCATCAACCCCTCATGTGTAAGGTACTAAATTTTATTTTGCCCTATTAATTTCAGCTCCCGATACCCTGGTAGTTACGACACTGTGGCTTAGGTTCATAATTTCGGTGTGACAAACAGCCGCAATGATATTTTAAAGTCTAGATATATTTATGAAGCGCTGTTATCGTGCATTTACAGGAATTTTATTGCTTAGAATTTAATTTGATGGCCGCTAGGTAAACTAGGCCATCAGGCAAGTTTAAGCCAGTGTCGTCCCTATGGTTTCATAAAAAATATATGTTTTTATATTTTTATCTGCACATTGTAAATTTTTATATTAAAAAACGAATACGTATTTTTTTAGTAGGTATACATTTATTACAGACTATTTACTGTATTATTATATAAAATAATTTGGTTAGGTGTGCCTAAAACTTAAGGAAAACTTTGCTGAATATTGCAGTAACTTGGGGACTGCTACTTGACGACACTGCTCTAGATATTTTTATTTAGAATTCATATTTACTTTAAAATATTTATATATTTTTTAGTTTCCTTTTGAAGCACTAAATTTTATTACAGTATGTCTATGACGGTTTTTAAGAATACGTTATATTTCACTATTAAAATTAGGTTGTAGACTGTTTGACAGAAGTGCCTATATTATTGACAAAAGTTTTAAAAATACCGTAATCTCATACTGTAATCCCGAAACTATTTTTTCGTTTTTATTTCAAATTCTGAAATATTAAAGTGTATTGAACACTATAAACGAGAAGCTATTTTAGTGCTGGGAATAATGGACATAGATAAATTTTACGACAAGAGAGTTGAAACGGTCGTGCATATTACGTTTTCGTATATAAAATAAATACTAGAATACTATAGCGCAGAAAAATGACGTACGAACTAATAAATCTATTAAAACTATAGATTAAGTAAAAAAAAATTTGAAGATTGATTGACAGAATTTGATATACTTATTGATAAAGAAATTAAGCCTTGCAAATATTTAAATTTTACATTTAGTACTTCTAATATGTTTTTTTTTTCTTATTGTCTTTCTCAGTTATGTATATACGAATAATTCTGTTGGGAAAACAGAAAGATATTTTTTTATGAAAACAGAAAAATACTTTTTTATGTTTTATTCTTGAATTTTTAATAAAAAAAAGATCCCCAAGAAAAATGAGGTATAAAAATTTTACAGATATACGTAAAGTTATAAAGAAAAAGTTTTATAAGGTTTCCTTTACAAACGACATGAACATGATCCGTGTAATTTGTTAGAGTTTTTTCGCTTCATTTCTTTAAAATATCGCGGAATTTTTCAAAACTAACACAATTTTACTTACCATAATACCAGTGCTCACTGCTATACCTCTACCGCAGTACGTGTTAGGCACAATATCACCAAATCCTACACTAAGAAACGTTATGGCTATAAGCCACATTGCATTTAGAAGGTTTGCATGCTCTTCATCATGGAATCTGTAAAGGATAACAAGGGGTTAAATTTAATTTTGGAGTGAATATACCACTAAATTCTTAATCATGATGGTCCTGGTCAGGATATTCTAGTAAACTTATAAGTATACAAAATTTTGTTAACATACATACAGGTGAAGCAAAACATTTTATATACAGGGTGGTCCGAACTGTATTCCGGAAACTTTGGCAGCATATTCTGCAGATAAAAATAAGTAAAATAGTTCGTATAAATGCATGTCTTAAAATGCTTAGTTTCAGAGATACAGTGTGTAGAAGTTTCATTTTTATTTCGATTTTTTCCAATTAATTTCTGAAGTAACGTCAATATTTTAATGAAAATTGGTGTCTGGGAGTTTTTTGACATGAGAAATTTGATTTTGATGTCAATATGACTCCTACTTGTATTTTTTAACTGGTTTGATGAGTATTAACTTTTCGTCCGTACCTGTAAAAATAAACATTTACGATTTTTTCTGCGTAAAAAAGATCTCTCAGTAAAAATCGCTACAAGTAATAGTTCTCGAGATATTTGGAATCGAAATTATCAATACCTATCATCATTGACATAAGTTAACATGTTGACTAAATAGTTATTAGACTGAAATCATAAATTTGAAATGTTTTTGTGTCACAAATTTAACAGATACTGTTTTATCACAATTTTTTCGCAGAAAATTTTATGATCAATTTAAAATAATAAAAATTTCCAAATTTATTATTTCAGTCTAATAACCATCTACTCAACGTGTTTATTTTTTCTCAATAATGACATGTATTGACTATTTCCATTCTAAATATCTTGAGAACGGTTGCTTGTAGCGATTTTTACCTGGAGACATTTTTACGTAAAAAGTCACGGAAATGTATATTTTTTCACTCTGTAGTTTTATACAGGTGCGGAGGAAAAGTTATTACACTTCGAAACAGTTAAACACACGTAGGTGGCGCCCCCTACCAATAAAAATATTGACATCAAAATCAAATTTCTCATGTCATAAACTCCCAGACACCAATTTTCATCCAAATATTGACGTTACCTACTTCAGAAATTATTTGGGAAAAATCGAAATAAAAATGAAACTTCTACACCCCATATCTCCGAAACTAAGCATTTTAGGAAATACATTTATACGAACTTTTTAACTTATTTTCATCTACAGAATAAGTTTCCGGTATCCAATTCGGACCACCCTGTATATATAGATAGATATATTAACTGAATTGAGAAGTTCTTCACTGATAAGAAGTTTTATCTGAAACTTTAGAGAGCTGTTCTTTTAGATCCCGTAAAAATTCCAGTGTTCAACAATATCAAAGCCAGTCGTTTTACAAATGCTTTGAGGTGAAACTTTTCAGCGAAAAAGTTTCTATAAGATAATTAGCGCTGTGCCAAAAGTTCACGTGTTAACGCTCTGCCGTTTTGAATGCTTAAATTGGTGAGGTTCCATTTACAAATTGATGCCCGCGGACCTTTTCCGGCGGCTCTTTTATAGTTTTTTTCGAGTTGATACAACGTCAAAATATATTTTTTCTTTCCCTTGTTCGAAACGAGAATTGTGTAATTTCGTTTTTTACGTCTCTCCGTACTTACTAGCTCGAAGCGTGTTTTTTCCTTTGTCGTGTTATTTAAATTGGAGTGCGAAAGTTTCGTTTTTGAAGCTCATTAAAAACCTGGAATATTCTCGTGGAAACTTTTTAACCATAATTATTTCGTCGTCAAACCTTTCTTTATGTTTATTACGGCTCGGAAATGTTAATATTAGATGTCTATTTGGGATTATCAGATTAATTATTGAACAATAATACATTTATCCCGCAGGGGGCAGTCTGGTTAGTAATTCTGCTTTGGGAAGTGACGCCCCTACGGACACGAATTACCTCCGTCACAAAGGCTAAATAAAAAAGAAGTAATAGAGATTAGTCAGACATGATGACTTTCTATAGGGTTGTAACCCTGCCTATAAAAAAGTTATAGTACCCTAAAGATCTACTAGATTGTCAGTTCAGGAACTTGGAACACCCTCAAAAGGAAAATTCCATTTCTCCAACTCCCAGTAAATGACATACCAAGATTGTACAATTTTGAGAAACACCTGGATTTGCGGAGAGAAACGTTTGCTCAGCTAGTAAATGACTATAGCATAAGGTAGTATACTGATACTTCCAAAACCAAAACAGAGATAGGAGTATTTTGACCGAAAAATACTACGAATGAATGGGCACCTATCCTAGCATCCTTCAGGAAAAATCTACGCTATCGAAAGATGCGTACAACTTATCTTAGATAGGAACGATCGGAAATAAGAAATAGCCATCGTATCCGATACTCAAGTAGCATTAAAAGCGATCTACTCAGGAACCATTAATTCGAAGTTGGTCAAAAAATGCTTAGAGAAGCTGAACAAATTAGGCAAAGAAAATAAAGTCCTCCAACTCTGGGTGCAGCCCATCCAGGGATAGAAGGCAATGAAAAAGTAAATGATCTAGCTAGAAAAAGGGCGAGCACTGCACTAACCGGACCAGAACCGCTTCCCAAGCTCTCTGCTCCTTTCTGTTTCCCAAGTACTTAAAACGGAAATAAGAACCAACTTAAAGCGGAATCAAAGAACCAGGAAGACTCTATCCGTAACCTGGAATGGGGGAATCGTCCAACAGTATAAGACACTTGAAGACATTTCTCAGAACTTACGACCGAGAAAAATCAAAGGTTCCTAGATTTGAGCAAGAACAATCTTCGGATTGTCACGGTTTTTTTAACAGGACACTTGTCTCCTAATGAACATTTCAGTAGATTGAAGCTAAGTAACAACGGCGAATGCAGATCCTGCGGGGAAAATGGAGAGACACCAGAACACCTCATCTTTAAGTGCGCCAAGACGATAATCATTCGTACCATAAACTGTGTTACGACTGATATCGGAGATGCAGAACTAATCTCTGTAAAACCGTCTCAGATACTGGCCTTTGTCAAACCCCTGAGACTGTATGATGAGTTATAACTAAAGAAATAATTACACAATCGATGTGTAAGGTCGCGGTGATTAAACTCCAACCCTTCCCATACATTCTACTTTCTACATTCCTTCAAAAAAGAAGACCTAGCAAAGATGCAGGCAGAAGAAAGAATCCACATAAATAGAGATATATTCAACTATGAGGAAGATGATTACTCTAGAGAGTATTATTTGTGTGTGTTAATCCACTATCCAAAGCCAGATAGAAATAACTAATTGGCACTGTTGGTTACCACGTCTTAGTCGTTAAAGTAAAAGAAACAGTCATTTATTTAACTTAGATTCCAATAATAAACCTCCCGCAGCGAAGATAATCCAAAACGACTGCTGTTGCGTAACTTAGTGAAGTCCACTTTTTCTGATGATCCAATAGAAACTTTTAATGAATCAATAGGAAAGTTTTAGCAAGTCGAACTTGTCCGCAACCTTTATTTAGCCGCCCTGCAACGCGCTGGCTAAAGGAGTGCAGTCGCTTAACGAAGAAAAGTTTTTTAATTTATCTGGGCATTTCTCCGTAGGATTCCAGTTCTAAATCTCACATGGCCAAAGCCTCCGAGATTAAATGCAATTTATTATTAATCATATCAAGTAAATTGGTTTGCGCAATACAATTTATTCTGTTGAAAGTTGTAATATTGAAATGGAAACTTCATGTGTAGTAAGAATTATTTAGATATATATTTTTTATCGTGGCTTTTTATTTGAAGAGGGGTTGAATTGGATGAAGTTCCAGATAAATGAGTACAAGGTTTTTGTTTTATTCAAATAGAATGTGATTTTTTCTGGAGTGGTGAAGAAAGCATATTTTCCTATTTTCGATTCTCTGTTACAATTTTTACTTTTAAGGCATCAAATAAATCTTGACAGTTTTTTTGTTACATGAAGTTCTAAGTTTGAACAAGGCGAACGTTTATCTCATTTAATTTTCAGCGTATCTCTTCTAGTTCTCGAGATCCATCTGTTTATTCTTATATGGGAGGGACATCGTGTATAATAAAGAATATATTGTATAGAAAACATTTTCTCGAATTTATTGTAGCGTTATAAAATAATTTCGAACCGTAAATTGTCCTGCTGGGACCGGCGAACTTTAACCGGATAGAGTGGCCCATAAAATTTCATAGTTTTCAATAAAAGATGAGAAACGATATATTCGGATCGCATTTGGCACGGAGAAACCAAGATAGCAATAAAACTTACCTCTCGCATTGGCGCAGAGTCCAACTGGCAATGATCCACAGCGACACCATGAACACCAGCAGGACCGTACCTGGGCAGATGGTCATCAGCGTTTTGAGCACAAACCGCGTGTTGAAATTAATCCGATTTAATGCGCCGATGCTGCGCGACGACGCGTCGGTGAACAGTTTGCTGTGCAACAGCATCACTCGGCAAATGAGATAGAGTCTGAGGAACATTGGCAAAGAGAGGGGAACGTCGTACGGCACGCATTTCGATCCGATGCCACCGTTTTGTCTGTTGGCTAGTTTCGTGGTCCACACGAAGCGGTAATGGCCCGGAATCGGATGCACTGCACAAATTATTAATTCCATGGATATTTGGCATATTCGCTGCCAGGTCATCGCGATCCGCCAGTCGTCCGCACAGTTGTCTATCATGAAGAGCTGCAAACACACAATATGCGTTTAGTATGCATGACGCGCTATGTAGATTGCCGTCGAATTATACTAATATTTCGTTATTGGCAACCGCAGGTTATTCAAAATTAACTTTAATTAACTTTTCGTATATTTTTAGAAATATTAACATAAATGTAAATACACATATACATATTTTCTGACAAGAGATTTAAATAATCTTTACAGAAAAATTACTTTTATTACTAATTGTATACAGGGTGAGTCTTAAATAAGTGCAAATATTTTTATGGGTGAAACACGATTATGAGTTTTATTCGCGAAAAAAAAAATGTAAAATTCGAAATTTTTTGGAAATTTTTATTAGTTTTTAGTTGGAACGTTAAATTTTTTTAGTTTTCAGTTAAAAAATATAATTTCCTGATAATATGGAAACATGGGTAGTAGATTAAATTTACAAGAAAGAAAACCCAGAAAAGATCCAGTGGTTCTCAAAATTTAGGCAAAAAATATTTTTTTTTGGAAATTTTCAAAGTAAAATAACTCGGTTATGTTACACTTATTTGAAAAACGGTAAAGAGAAAATATGTTTCTTTTATCGAGATCTACCAGCCTTGAAAATATTTGTGCTTATTTAAGACTCACCCTGTATAGAAGTATTTGACAGCTTATAGTCAAATCAATCTAATATACAATGTGTAAATAAATTTTGTACGATTTTAGTAAATTCTTAAATTTTTTGTTGGTAGACCTATCTTGAGAACGTATTCTGAGGACTGGCAAAAGTAATAAATCCTCAATAAATAATACATTATCCCTGTTTTTCGTACAAATGTTCTACTCAGTGAAAAAAAGTCGATGTTTCCTGATTTGAGAGGCTTTTTTGTCTGATTTATTGCATCGGAAAAAAAAAGATTTTTCGTCTGATATAACGTTAATAAAACGATATATCGGTTTTCTGTTACGTATGTGATATAAAAACGAAATAAAATTTGTGCGAAAACTATACGAAATTTATGTATTGTCATGCCTTGGACGACAAGGGAGCTGGAAGTAATAAGGGCCATCATGAACACCAAGTACCCAGCTAAAAAACTGAGATATTTCGTCTCATAAATTTTATTTCACCTTTTTTTTCAATCGATATAAAAATAATTCTTGATACGGTGATACATACAATCTTGTTAAATGTAGAAATATAATTTTGAAAGGGATCCCGAAAAGCTATTTATATAATTCTTCTTTCTTTTGAACTCGAACAATAGCCGCAAAGAAAACATTTCCTTACGAATTTTTACATCGTATTATACTTAAAAGAAGCCGGAAATATTCCTTTTATGTGTTTTTTTCGCTTTTGTGAAACAACACATGTCATAAATATAAAAATAAATAATACATAAACAAAATGTCAAACGTAACATTTTTTCCCCGAAAAATGAACTAAAATACTTTATTTTTAATGTGGGGACAATGTGTGAAGTTAAAATGTGAAATTTTTGTGACTTTATTGTTGTTAGATAATACGTTGCTTTGTCTTTGTAGTCGCTAAAAGTTTTAATTGCAGTCACTGATCGTTAAATTGTTGCACGCAAAACCAACACTCGGCTTTGTTTTTGTTTTTACGTCGTACTTTATTCTTTTCATATAAAACTACGTAACAAAGTACCAGAATGCAAATAAATTAGGTGCTATACGGTGCACAGAAACAAACATACGTCTATGTGTAACTAAAATGAAAAGCTGAACAAACAAGGCCAATATAATTTTATATCTTGTTTTATTCTATTCAATAACACATTTTTAATTGAAAAAGGCCTTATTATATTTTTAACGACTGAAGATAAACAAAAATGTTCATTACCTGTACTTCTAAAGCATGGTAGGCTACAATGAGGCCTAAAAGAATCACAGTCGATACAGATATCAAAGTTTTGAGCGCAATTGAGTAAAATTCATCCTAGAACAAAAATTAAAAAATTAATATAACATAGCAAATAGATTTAGAAAGCCTCTAAAGATTTATTAAATTACATTTTAACATTGTTAGGAAAAATGTTGTAGTCTAGTTTATCCCAGACGGTCGTGAGTCTGTAACTTCTCAGTAACATATGGGCTTTATCGAAGTTTTATTGAGCCACCCAAATCTTCCTTCTATCAGAATTGAACAGAGCAGCTACGGTAGAGTTATGATAAAGGTTTATAGGCTTTATCATATTTTTTTCATATGTTATTTAAAATATTTTCTCAAGAAAAACTGTTCCTGCCTTTATAATTTCTTACTGCGTATTTTTATGTGACACATCTAATATATATTCAAGTTATAAAGACATTACACGTTGCTCTAAGAAACGCGGCATTGCACAAACTTTGCAAACGAGTTTGTAATTAAGTGGGTTTACCTATTTCAGTTTGGGGGAATGGCACAATTAAGTTAATAGTTTCTTAGCCAACCGAAGGGGGTAATTTTGTGTGTCTTTTAAGGTCCACACCTGGTGCCACAAAATCATCTCTTTATAAGGTCAAATCGTTCGTATATAAGTGGTTATGGTTAACTTTCTATACTGTGTGACATAGAAATTGCAACAACTAGGAAATGCAAATATATTTTATTAATATTTTCAGATAAATGTGAGTTAATAATAATTGATGATATTTTAATTTATTGAAAGGAATTTTAAAAAATCTCATCACTGTTAATAAAATCTGGTTATTAGGTTATTTCTAAAGAGACTGGGATAAAAGTGTTGTAGTTTACTACACTTCATGCAGGCAATCAACTACTATACTACTGGGTTTTGCAATCTCTATGTCACACCAGTATATTTACCGAAGAATTGTGAAAGTGTACTTACTTTCCGATAAACTCCGGCACTTGAAAGTTCATTTTCTATAACCATAACAATAATCCCGAACATTCCCATCACCAAGGCGTAGTCGCTTATCCGTTTCCGCTTTTCGAAGAGGGCTTTACGCCGACCTAACCTATAGCCTACGTTCGGCTTGTGCTTGAGGCTACCTGACGAGGGCCCCTTGTACCCCGTGCCTATCGTGCGGTCCTCCATGAACCTCGGGTAGTCCACGTGGCCCACCAGGGCTACCCCGGCTCCTTCTTCTTGCTGCATCTTGCCCCCGCCCCCCGCCGAATCCCTGCTTGAGTTTTTCACAGCCCCGGGAATGGATAGGGTTGAGACTGGTTTCCTCAACTGCAACACATGCAGATCAATCGTTAAGTAGAGTCTTGTAATTGTAAATAATTGTCATTTGGTTAATTTGCATCAGCTCAACATGGCCAGTGCAATTCATCTAAATCCTGCTTGTATTCAGTAACATTCTCTTAGTATCGTATGATCGAAAAAAAAACGGCATCAGCGATGGCTATGAAATGAAGATCGCTGTCATTTTATATGTAAAATTATATGGGGAATGTCATCGATGTTTATTTCCAAGCCAACTGGATGCCGTTTTTTTTTTCGATCATACGGTATTATATTGTCTCTTTGCTGCATTGAAATAAACGAACTGGCTAAATCACCGCCATTGGACGGTTTTACATATGTATTAACATTGAATATCGCCGAAACAGGAATTTAAAATTATTAACAACCGCGGTTTTTGCTAAATATATAAAGAATGCCGAAACAGAAATACCGCTCTTACCAAATAATTAATTAGTAATTCCGCGATTAGGTACTGTTGTCAAAATAAAACTATATTTTATTGCATACGAAAAAAATATTTTTGACATGATAGATCCAAAATAGCAAACAACGAACATTAAACTATTTTATCACCTAATCGAAATGCAAAAATATAAGTTATGTTATCATTTCGAAATGAGTTCGTTAGAATGGAGTGATTCAGTACTGATTTGGCGGTCGGTGGACCTTAAAAGGCAGGTTAATGTCTATCTATAGCTCGAGCAATCAAAACATGCTGTAAACGTGTTTTGATTGCTTTGGTTTCATTCTTTTTTCCTTAGTTTTTCTCTGTTTGATTAATACGCATCTTTATTGCTTTAAATATTTTAATTTTAAAAATGTTTTACAATTTTAGAACTATTATTAAATATCAACGACAGGGGGGGCTCAATTCAAGTTAAAAAATGACAATTCAAAGATATTAATTGTTGTGATTTCGGCGACGTTTGATTCAATTTTTCACCGGCATTTAAAGATATGGAAATCTTTTTGTATACACTAACAATAACGCCGGCGGTTGTTTAGCCAGTACATAAAATAAAACACATTTCACATTTCTGCATCTGAGTAATATTTTTGACAAACAGACAATATATGAAGCATACAATGTCCACAAACATGTTCTGTATCATATTTTTATAATATATTCTGTATCATATTTTTTTTATAATTCTTCCACCAAAAAGCTTTAAAAAAAATATGAACGCGTCTGTGACATTTTTTGTACTAGAGAGCTTAGCAATAAACATATTTTTCTAAACGAATTCTATTTTCAGACTTAACCATCTAGGTATTAATTAAAAATATTTATAAGAAAACTAGTTTGAAGCCCTAGAAATTTAATGACGCCGTTTTTATTATGGTTTTCGAGACTTCTAGCCAGAAAATGCTTGCGATGCAGAATATCTCTGGTGACATTGCGTTGGCATTCATATTCAGATGAGTTATACAAGCTAAGATTTCTGATTCGACTAATAAAAGCTCTAAAGCTATACAAAGCTTGTTTTGATGCCTTAAAAAGCGTAATGGGTGTATTTTTAATTCAACTAAATAACTATAGGATTCAGTTTTCTCTCAAACTTTCAAACAAAAAATGGATATGCTATTTTCGCTCCAAGCCAATTAAATGACGTATTGAAAAAGCCAATTGAAGCGCGATTTGACAAAGATTAAAAAAAATCAACCGATATTACGGATATAAATTTCACAAGAGGCGAATCATAAAAATTTACCTTTGGGCAATCTTTTTTTGTCGAAACACTGGGATTGAAATTGAGAGACAGAGATATTCATTATTTATGTTTGGGGAACGGAAAAAGCAACGTTCAATGTAATTAGCAGGAGTTTCCAACGGTATTGAGTGGTTGTACAACGCAAATTTTACATCGATTGATAAAGTTTTTTATCCGGAGATTATTTTTTAACGCTGATTAATCAGTAAAGATTATAGCGATTTAGGTCTAATTTTTATCCGATTTTTCACGTATTTGATACGTTTTATCCCGAGGCATGCATGTTTTTCTTCAATTTAAATTAAATCTGCCCCTTAATTTCGTGGTTTAAATAAATACTTCGTTTAATTATCATCAATCCCGCGAGCTGCTTTCTCATTCTGTTGCTTGTGTAAATGCAGTTAGGAGAATGAGGTCTTGGTTTAAACTAATTTCTCGGGCCTAAAATTACATTTGTAATATTAATATATACATCTGCGTGCTTCTTTACTTCGTTTGTTCCACAACTTCGTACTAATTAACGTTTTTTTAATTATTTTTTTATTCACACATTACGTTGTTTTAAAATCCCGTTATTATTTTAGAGAAGCTTTTTGTTTTTTCTTTGTACTTTTTATATTCTATATGTTTTTGGATAATTTTCGATCCGTTATTTTTGTAAAGAGTATGATCTCTTGAATTTTAATAGGGACAGAGGTAGAAAACATTAATTAAGAGAAAAGATAAATTAAAGTTAATTAGAAAAAAAAATGGAAATACAAAATAAAAATAAATTCGTAAAGAAGCACGCGGTGGTTTGATTTTAAAGGAGAAAAACTGCATAAATAATAGAAAAAATAATGCAGTTTCAAAATATACAAAGTAATCTTGTCATTTTCCTTTTTGTTTTTATTAAAATAATATTTTGTTACCATTAATGATCTTTTGGGCTAAAGATAATAGTAATCGTCTCGTAGTTTTCCAATTTAAGCGTTCCTTTTTCCAATTCAATTTTCTACATGCCAAAAACAAGAGTTTTTCGTGAGTTAACAAAGAGATTTTTTTTCTTTGTGTAATCGACATGAAAATTAAAACAGTTCTGCCCTAGAGAAACCGTATCGACGACAAAGTCAAAACAATTAATCTATTAATTACGTATTTTTTAGACGTTCTATAGGCTTTATTTAATATTGAACATTTAAGGGAAATTTCTAAGGCGTTAATATAAAAATTTATAGCCGGCTCGTGTGTTTCTCTAATCCACAACAGTAGGCCCTTTATTGCGTAATTCTCTTTTAAAGAAAGGCCTTTTATACAATTTGGCATTGCGTGAAATGCTGATTAAATATTTAGGTTAATAGATTCCCTTTTTTCCCCTGAAAAGTGAATTAAATCTCATGTAAAGGTTTTCCACGCCGTAGGTGGACAATGATAAATGAGAATTACTTTAATACACTTATTTTTTAAAATATTCAAATATTTGCCCAAGTTATTTTGTTTATACTACAATATTTTAGGGTAGGACTCTTTGCTTTCTTAATAGAAAAAAAAATTTGATTGGTTACAAAATATTAGTTTTAAATTAGGTAAGAGAGAATTTGTGTATTTTCTTATGACAAAATTATTATTGTATATTTTCTATTGTAGTTCATAAATTACATGCTAGGTGATAGGTGCTGTTGTGCTAAGAACCTGAGGATTGAATTCAGTTAGTGCATTTTTTAGTAGGTAATCTAGAAAAACTTCAAGCGGTGATTTTTAGTCTCATAACCTCAAAGTACCTAGACCATTATCTATATTTTTTTTATTTTTAAAACCGTCTAGTTAAGCTATACTGAAAGTTGTCAGATGTGTTAATATAAAACGTAAACTTTTTGTTAATTTGTTGTGGAATTTAAAAATTAATTCAAAATATACTAAATAGCTATTTAAATTTTTATTTTCAAGTTTCTTGAACAATATTTTTTTTTCTAATTAAATTTATATGGTACAAGTAGTAATATACTTGGAATACTTTTGTAGAATTCTTGTACTTATTTTATTTTGAAAATAGACCAAAGGAGTGCGTATCATAGTTTTGAGAATTATGAGAACAAATATGCAAGAGATGTAACGATTTTTTTTAGATGAAATTCTGAATTTTATTAGGGTTCAAGAACTAATTATTTTTTATTATTATTTAATATTCACAAAAGGTGCGCTTCTTGCTTCTGAGAATTATAAAAAAATTGCACTAGAATTTTTGATTGATGATTACAAATAAACTATTAGTTTATTGAAAATTAAAAATAAAGTTGCGCTTTATACTTCACGAGAGTTATCAAAGTATTTATAAAAGAAAATTTTGACATACACAGTATTTTGTATGAAACTTTGAACGAAAGTTTTATAAAAAAAGCAAACCGCTGAGCGAAGCGAAAAGTTTTTGCGCGACAGAGGAAATTCAAAAGTTGTTTTTACCTGTTTGTGTAGCGTAATTCTGACGCCGCAAGTGGATATTCACGTTTAAACGAGAAATATATTTTTTTGCCGAAAAACAAACACATTTCGCCGAGATCCGAGTAAACAGACGGCCAGGTTGTTTTGAGGTTATGTGGCAAAACGTAAGGACTTTCGGCCTAAAAATTCAAAGGGACTCTAAATGATCATCCAACCGTTTTTACATAGGACACTGTGTCGCTGGAGACTTCTGTAAGGGCGCGCTTGAGTCTTGTTCTTCGCGCCTGCGCCATTGTTTGAGAAGAAGACAGCATGCCAGAACCCTATATAGAGAGAATCATACAATTCATCTCGACAGATTTGAGGCCAGCGATCCTGCTGCACACGCCAGTCGCACGGAAAAATAAAACGCGAAAACGCTAAAGTTCTGACAACGAAATTCATACGGTGCCATGTCAAGAAATTACTTTAAAAGCTTGTTAGAGTGCGCCTTAAATTTTCATTATTTTTTATATTTTCCACACTTTTCCTAGAAAATATAAATCATAATAAAATATTTTGCGCAAAACACACAACGAGTAACAGTCAAAAATAATGTGCTTTAGCTAATAGTTAATAGTCAATACATGAAAAAAGGTTAGCTGTATTAGTTTTCAATAGTTGAAAAAAATAGAAAATGAGAACCATAACCATAAAAATTGTGCATGGATGCATTTTTATCTACTAATTAATTTACATATATATTTTTATGTGTATATAAAAATAAATACATAATATGTGATTTTTTTTATACACTTATTATGCAGCAGTAATTTTACCAGAAATTATGGAGTATGCTAAAATAATTTTTAAATTATATTTAAAAATATTTTAGCGCATTTTAGCATTATTTCTATTTTAATAATAAATAATACTATATTATATTAAAATTGTAATACTAAAGTATTTTTTAAATGTGCAGACAGACCCACTTCTAGTTAATTTTACATGCTTTTTTATTTTATGTCAAGGACTTATTACAACCCTATCAAAAATAGATTTTTTATTTCACTGGTAATAAAAGGACAGCTCTTTATAAAAAATAGACAAAATTTGGCCCCTTATGAATCGAAATACCGCGTTCTTGTTAAAATCCTATAGAATATGACAAATTTTTGAAAATAAATTTCATAAAATATAAATTTATTTAACACCCAATGACTATCGCTATTCATGCAAAAACTGAGTGAAAAATGCTTGGTTTTATTTTAAACGGAATTTATATCTGTTTGAAAATTCAACTAAATATTGAGAAATATAAATTTTCAACTTTATCGGTTTTTATTCAGCGGCAAATATTTTTAAGCTAGTTAGAAAAAATATATATATTTCAATTGAATTGACTGAATTATTTAAATCGGATTAACAGTGTCTAATAATAAGTTTGCGTTCTATACACCATTAAAGATATAGTGTTTTAGTTGTTGAGGCTTTTTATGTATCAGGGGTGGAATATGGCATGTTAAATCAGTATAAAAATCCACAAAAATAAAGAAATCTGGCATTAACTGGGGCTATTTTACCTAATTATCAAGAGCCTAGATTTTATGAAGTGTCTATAAAAAAAATTAAGACTACGTTTAAGAATATATCAAACTAAAAATATTACCTTATTTATTTATAAACTCTAATAAGTGTTTGGTTTACTTAAGATAATATAATTCCAAAATGTGTAAAAATGATAACTTATTTTTTTTTATTTAACCATCTGTTAGAGAGGGTGTTGCTAAAAAGAGAATAATTTATCAAGCACTTAAATAGCCTACGCGGAAAAAAATGTCAAAAGAGTTGCTGATAAAGAAGGCAATGTTATTAATGAAAGAATTTTTAAAAAAGCCATATTCATTCCAACTAAGAAATGTTCCAAAGCTTATTATGTTTTTTTGTATGATTTGGCAAAAATTGTGATTAATTTTAATTAAAACATTTTAATACTTTGTATAAATTAAATTTAACTTTTTTCAAAACTGAAATGCTTACGTTTCTTACGGTATTTTTTTCTGAAATGAATTTCTTTAAAAGGCAATATTGCGAATAGGTTGTTACCAAAAAAAACAGAAAAAAGATGCTCATTCCTTTTCCATTTAATTCTGCCCAGAAGTCCCACAGTCCAAGATTACTTATCGACTTTTTTGCTCCGTTTTTTTTTCTCATTAAGTAATTAAATAAATTAGTTCCTTACAGAAATTTCAGATATATTATTTTGTTGTTCATTTTTGTGTAATGTAATTAGAAAATTTAATGATGAAAAACGAGGAGGCTTTGAAAAGGATGTTTTGATTAACGTTTTATTAAGTTAGAGATCGTTTTAAATATTTTCCGAGAGTGAACGATGTTCTAATTAATTTAAAGAAATTAGTTTGACTGAAATGAAATTCGAATAAATGAATTCCATTTCTGTACTGAACTAAAGTTATCGTAATTTATTTCAGGCAAGTTCATTAGGAAAATACAAAGCAAATGTTCCTTTTTTTAAACACAAATAACAGTCTGTTAATTTGGAAATTAATTTTGAAAACTTTAAAGCCTTAAATCCACCAAACATATAAAATTGAAATTAACATAAGTTTTCAAAATTGCGGACACTATTTCATCAAGGATTATGTTAAATTATATTCTATAGAAGTTTATATTTAAGTTCATTTATTATATTCGTACATCCATTATAACGTTTTAATTTTCTAGAAGAACTTTCTGATTAAGAAAACTTTACATACGCGTCTCGTTTTATATAAATTTAGTTTAACATCAAAAAGTTGGTTCCTTTGTAGATACCTTATCTTTATTTCTGAGTGTTAAGAAATCTCTTTTATAATTATCGAAATGGCTTTATTAATATTATATCACGGAGCTTATGTTTAAGTTAATTTCTTAGTTAGATATGTCATATTCCATACTTTGAAAAGTTATATCCAAGTTTAAACCGTTGAAAACTTGATTATTGTTGAACTTGGAAAGTCAGGTAGTAAAATTATCCAGCTCATTTTAAAGCTCTTGGTGTTTCCATTATAAACTTAAAGAAGCTTGCTTTATTATTGCCTTTCTGTTTTATGGTATTTCGGATTACTTATATTCCTAATAATTCCTTTTAGCAGTCTGCTAAGCATTTTTATTCTGGGAAAAGTTCAGACAGTTTTAGAGTAGTTATTCATAAAACTTTTACAAGATCCTATTCATTCCAGTTAGAGAATTTTTAGGGAAAAAGAATATGAATTATGGCGAAAATATTGCATTTTTTTGTCATCAGCGTCGGGACATGAAGCTAAAACTCATTATACATTCATATCAAGAAGTATCTAAAAAAAGTAAAGTTTTAAAAAACCCAGAGCCAATCATACTCTGATTTATTTATGTCTCGAATGAAAACTGAGGAAAAATTCTAAAACTTTCTACAGTTCACGTTAAAAGCAAAAGAGAAAGAAGGTAGAAGAGATAAGGAGAAATAAATTAGTTTAGTTACTAAAGTTTCTTCCGTTTAAAACTTTCTATCTGAACTAATTGTTTCAGTTTACTAATTTTGACATAATTATTTGTAATGTTTATAAGAAAAACGTCACAGAAAATCTCTTTATTTATGGATTATCAAAACTTTTGTCTTTCTGATGAATTTCCTTCCAGACTTAAAATTAATGTTTATTTATCACGAAATGTCACTGTACGTCTGTGTATAATTTTATGAATTTAAAACAAAAAGATATCGAATCCAGGTAAATTATGCTTTCTAACATGAATTTTATGAATTTGTAGTAAGTCAAATATATAAGATGTCTCGACGTGATACTTTAAAATGTAATGCCGTATTGTCTTTGGGTGGATTCGTATGTTGTTATCGATTCAGCCGTATAGCCCATCCAAATTGTTGGCAAACAAGCTAATAAATTTTGCTTTATCTTGTACATCTATGCATTTGGACGGACATATAAGGCAGACCTTACGTGTTACCTTACAATAATTTACTCTTTTCAACTGACATGTTCTTATATATTTCCACTGCAGCAGTAACATATGGGGGGATCGTTGCGATTTTTTGTATCAAGCCCATAAAACTGCATGAAAACACATTAAAGTATAATATATTTCAAATAAAATTTAAAAATCACGAAAAGTACAATTTCAAAATAAATTAAAAGGGATTATTTGGTAGAAATGTAAAAGTTGCTGATTTTGCAGGTTTAAAATTGAATAGAAGTTCAGTTCATTTTAGACAATAAGCGTAGGCAATTTTTAGCTGAAAATTATGCTGTGCATAAACCATATTATTCAGGCAGATATTTGTTTTTTCTCTAATTCTAATTTCTAAGTCCTTTGAACATTTCAGAATTTGTAGAAAATGTTATGCTTATTTGGAATATGTGCCCATTAAAAACGAGTGCTACATCTTCAAATGAATTTTATTAATGTTTTAGGTAGATTTTCTCCGTTAATCTTAATTTTAAGGCTGCTACCCTGGTTAAATAATTCCAATTTTTGCCAAACTTAACTACCCTATTGTTGAAATGAGCACGGCTTTTTTGGTAAAACCACAAAGACCTTCAAAGTTCAAAGTTAAATCCCTTTTATCCAAAAAACATTAGTTTGGGCTTATCGGTTTCTTCTTGTTAAGACTTTAATTGACATATTTACCAAGTTAATTTCACAGAAGGCTTGAATTAAACTTTTCAATTCGAATTTTCTAGAACTAAAAAATAGCTTTTTTGCTGTAGTAGAATTATAAATCCTAGAAAGGTTAACAGAATTTATGAACAAGAGAAAACTTTGCGACAGTACGTTTCGGAGTTATATTAAATTAAATACAAACAGAACATTTGGACCGAATCGAATTTTAAAACGTTTCTTTTTATTTTCGGCAAACATTTCTGATAAGTTTGGAAAATATTGGATATTCTGTATTGGCAAATGTTTACTTTATTCCTAAAACAATGTTATTTACGACAATACTGAAAATTTGGCGAGAAATATTTTTTTTTATGATTATTATTCTTGTTTTGATATACCTAATTTTTTTTAACGAAAGGTTAAATGTTTAATGTTTTAGAGTGGAGTGTATACCTTCGGGTATCAATCAGACTAACACCTTTTAAAGATTCATCTATGAGAGCACCAGTCTACACTTTGCCTTTGATAATCTATTTATAATTCCCGTGACACATGATTAGGGTTATTCTGCTTATTCTGTGCCAATTTATATTTTAGCCCTCACTTTATACGGTCTCATAGCACCTGTCATTAAGAAAAGATTCTCTAATAGAAGCAGTACATAGATTAAAATATTTTTCTCCAAATAATTTTATGTAAAAAAATATTACAAAATGTAAGTTTTCGTATTCACTTTTCATATCTCGTGTAAATATAATGGTACAAAATATATATTTTTTGATAGAGCAAAACTTTAGTTTCTGTCTCACAAAAAAATATGTTGCCCTGTTTATTTCAGTGTACGTTTCTAAGTAAAAGGATGTTGCGAAGAGCTATATTTTGGAATTCTACGGTATATTTTATGACATCCAGGCATCTTGTATTACATTTATGATAGATGTTATTACCCTCTTAAATTGTAGGCCCACCCGCAATGGTAGATACTTGAACCACACATGTTTCACTCAAACTGTTTATTTTATACTCTTTGTTTTATCCACAATTAAGTTACTTATTTGTTTTTAAGGGTTTCACTATGAACTGAATGATATAAGCATTACGTTAATCTCAAATGTAATATACTCTATATTTAAATAAATTGCTTGTGTCATCAAAATTGCTTGAGGTTAATTTTTAGCGGTTGAAAGGGTGCGTGTGGTATGTCGACAATAAGTTAGGGTATGCCGAAAATATTTGGTTTGTCTAGGAGAATAGGGTCTAGAAGCCCTATATCGTTCACTAAGACATGACATATTCCCTGTCAGTATCTTTAACGTACGAGACTGTTCTTCAGAGTAATTGAATATTTTAGACGCAATTCTCGTTTAGTTCTGCGTATAAAGTGCTTAGATATTATATTTATATCGTTTTTGATGAAAGTTAGTAATGACTTGCAAAAATATAGTTATTTACTGATAAATGTTCTATTATATTGTATGATTTTTTCTTATTAATATTTTGATTAATATTACTGATATTATATTATCCTTTATTCAAGTGAACAAAAAACATACTATTAACGAGTTTTTCTTTAATATGTGTTTATCAGTACAGCTACCACATTCTTATTGTTAAAATAAAATTAACTCTAAACGAACTATGTATATCTTACAAAGGACATGTAAATAGAATAATAAATCAAAGATTTTTATGATTAATAGTCGAGTAGTATAGATATCTAGGTTGAAATCAATCGAAAAAAGAAGGACTTTGTTGATATGAAAGATGATCCTGTTTGTAGAACGTAAAATATTAAAATTTGACAAATTGGTAGTGAGCGTATAAAATTTACACGTTAACCAAAAAGCCCTGTTCGATGTATTATTTTATCTTTATAACATTTTTGCGAATTTATGGAAGAAGCCATAAAAATTGCTTATCTATAAAGCAGACAATTGCACAGTTTTGTTACTTTTCGAAATTGACTTTTAATGGAATCATTTCTGACTTCGTTGAATCTTTATGGCAGCCAAACGTTTAAATGGTATAATGATTTATGAATAATGCGATTTTTTATTATTAAAGACCCTATTATAAAATTTCCCATATTTAAATTTCGAGAATTCCATTTTTTGCATATTTAAAATTATCATTTATTTTTAATGTACCTACTTAAATATTGATTTATTTTTTTACAGGCTCCAGCTTCAACTCAGTGAATTGTAAGTAAACTATTAAATTTACTTTATTAATATTTCGATTTTTTTTAAATTTTCCTCAACAAAACCTTAATCGTTTTATTAATTTTTACTTCAGAATATTTATTAATATTGTTTCTTGTTTACATTTTTTTTAAGAATTTTCGTGATAATTATATTCATATTTTTGTCTTATAAAAATTAATTAAAATTCATAATTACTTTACTACTTAAGTAAGAGTAAGAGAAAGAATCCACTAGAATTTAATGGACTTGATTTAATTTAAAGGTATTCTTTATAAGAAGAAAATAAATCAAATTTTATCAGGAAAAAAATGAATCTAATTTAAGAATCTTATTAAACCAATTAATTTTTTAATAAATTTTCTGTAGAAAAAATCCTTTATCAAATTCAACCAATAACTTTCAATTTAAATACGACACACATGTATGTTACTTCCGTATTCCGTATATTATTTGGTTTTATAAAATTAGTATTGCAGGAAAATGCATAAACTCTATATGTCCCCATTACTCGCAGATTGACATTAAATGATTTACTAATAATGTAATGAATTTGAATGGTCAATTAATAAAATAAATTTTATTGTATGTTGTAAAATGATATATCTGGGAAATGAAGGGTGAAATATTGATATAAAACCTCAAAAAATAATAATTTATTCAGATTTGTTTTTCTATTTTATGAGGAGAAAACAGAATTATTGTTACTAAACTTTAGTCACAGAGTTGCGCATAAATCCCACTGCGAGTACCAAAAATTGCTGCTAAATTACGAGATCCAAAATCCAATCTCGCGGCAAACATATACACCGCAAATATATTTACTACTCTAGTACGTATGTACGTATATCTGCCTCCAGATTACGACATTATCTAGATCTAGCCATTTAGTAGTACATTTTTGTACTAAATAATGTGATTTCTACGAAATGATGATTCTTTTGGTTTGGTGAACGTTACGAAGAGATTCATACATTGTTCAGATTCATACAAAGTTCTCTATGTTACAGAAATATACAGGGTGGTCAGGAGTAATCAGGCAACATATTTTGCAAATAAAAATAAGTAAAAAAGTTCGCATAAAAGCATGTCTTAAATTGCTTCGTTTTGGAGATACAGGGTGTCATTTTTATTTCCCTACTTTCTAAACAATTTGTGAGTCAACTTCCATATTTGGGTGAACATTGGTATCTGGGTGTTTTTTGACATGGGGGCACTTCTGTAGGCACCTCCCACATATTTTTAACTTCTTCGTCTTGAAAAGTACCAACTTTTCGTCTGTAACTATATTACACTACTGAGTCAAAAAATATACATTTCCGCAGTTTTTTTACGTAAACAATGTCTCTTATTGAAAATCGCTACGAGTTATGGTTCTCAAGATATTAGGAATCGAAATAATCAATGCATGTCATCATTCATAAAAATTAACATGTTGACTAGATAGTTATTAGACTAAAATAATATATTTATAAATATTTTTGTGCCAAACGTTCAACAGACACTATTTTTTCATAATTTTTCTTGAAAAATTTATAATTAATGTAAAAAAAATTATTTTAGCCAATTAACTATCTAGTCCGGTATGTTTATTTTGGCCAATGACGACAATGTATTGATATGTATAATTTTTAATCGAATTAAAAAAAATAAAACTTCTACACCCTTTACCTCCGAAACGAAACATTTTAGGAAATAAATTTATACTATTTTATTTATTTTTATCTGCAGAACATGCTTCCGAAGTTTACTGAATACAATTCAGACCAACCTATATACACTTTTAATTATTTAACTGATAGTTTAAGTTAGAAAGTAGTCGCACACATTCAGCTTGTTCTGAAGCTTCGGACTGCGCAGACCAATGTGTGGACTACGCAGCTTTGGCTTGAGCGGAAATATAATTTGTGCGGCTACATTTAATCGTAGACAATGTTGTTAACAATGAACAGACTATTTTAAAATCAGCTAGAAATAGTGTTGGTTATTAATGGGCCGAAATTAACGAGAAAAATATTAAAGTTCGCATCAACAGAGATGTACAAGATACCTCACAAAAAATACCTGAAAAATACAAGTTACAAGATACTTCCAAGCAAAGTATTTGAGATATCAGATAAAAGATACTTTTGAAAAGGATATTTGAAATACTAGATATAAAATACGTATTTTATATAAACTTTTATTATAATAAAATACTTTTTAGAAGAATATTTTTATTTTTAAGGTTTATTTAGCTTAGTACATTAATAATAATTATGAACAAGAATCCTGTAAGTCTGAGAAACATATTTGAAAAGTTTTGTTTGGCCAATTTAGACTTAAGTAAAACTAGGTCTTCAAACACTGTATCACTTATTTTGTTAGAGTTCACTAAAAAATGTAATAAGATTCTTCTTTTGCCTTTCTTTTTACGTATTTTCCTATTTTCCATTGTAGTTTAAAGTATCCAATTTTTATTTTTTCTACCGATTAGTTTTACGATTAGTTTCAGCCAGGCCTTCGAGGACAGATCTTTAAATGATTATGGCTTCCATTTCATTTAAAGAATTGATGTGGCACTGAAGCTAATATTGCATCATTAGCTGCGAGCTCTAATTGCAAAAACTTGATAAAACGTCTGTTTATGTTTTCTTCAATGCAATCTAGCAAAGTGTTTTAGCAGTATTTTAGGTTTTCAATTTTAAAATGTTTAATGATATACTGGATTCTTATGAGTTCGGGTAACAGACAACCATAATATGTGTCTTTATCGCCTTGCAGACTTTGTATGTCTTCTGCTGTTGGCTTTGAACAAGCAACATATTCACTTTAAAAATGTATTTAATTTTGTTTAAAAGGGGGTAGTTTCAACGTTATCATTGTTTCATTCAGATCTTGCAAAGGTTGCTTAGCTATTTCGTCGCACCGAATACGGACACATATGATTGGATGCTGTAAAATATAATATATAGTAAAATTATTTTAGCAAACTAAGTATTTATAAAATACTAAGATACTAAAAAAGGTATCTAAATACAAGATGAAATTCAAAAAAAAATTTCAAATATAAATTGAAAATACGTATTTTGTATCTTATATCTGTATTTCAAATGCTTGTATCTGAAATAAGTCACAAGTCTCTGCGCGTCAATCATACCTGGCGAAAATTGCGCATGGCGCCGTTGATTCGAAGCGAATCAGCCGCGATGCCTGCTATGCCTCCTGCATCGTGGTCTCTTAGCTGTCTGAGAGAGGTGGATGGGTGGGCAGCCACCCCATGATGAACACAGCCTGTTCCACAACATGGGGCGGCCGATGCTTCCGGTTGCGAACTTTGGCGAATTATCCTGGAGCTCGGTAACGTGGTGACCACAGAGGAGGCGGGCGCGACTGGACACGAACTGCACGACACCTGGAATGTCACCGACAAGTGCAATCAACATCTGGACTTTAACGGCCAATCCGTTATCCGTTATGCCAGGCCCTTTGGAATTACTTTCAGTTAAATACAGACATCGAATATACGACAACTGTTCAAATACCTTTACTGCATAGATACTATAATTGAGTGACTTGACTCAAGTCCTTTTAATTTAGCATTAAATAAAATTCAGTGTACTTAAATTAAGAATGTTTCTACGACTTTATAAAAGTAATTCAACTAAATTATATTCTTTAACAGACTATGGATTTTATCCAAATCAAATGTATGTAATTTAACAATATTACCGCACAAAAGAACTTTTTAAATGAAATACTTTTATGCTATTTTTAGAAAAAAAGTTTTATGTTTCTCCGATTTAGATCGAATTAAAAAGTTTTTCCTGCCAAAGTATCAATTTTCTTTTTCTAAACTGTCTGTATACTTATGTCTGTATTTAAATTGTTGTCGTTTGAGACTGACGGCGAATTCATTCTTCGTTTGTTCTTGATTATGACCCTTATGAGTTTGTTGTGATGTTGGTAAAAATTGACAAAATAAATAACCAAAGGGCAATTCCAAAAGGCGAGAAATTATATAAAAAAATGTAGAGGAAAGAAAAAATGAACCAAATTCGTTTCTTGGAATTGGTAAACAAAACGTGACTGTGTCAAACAAAGAGGAAGAGGAAGACAAAGATAAAGATAGTGCAACAAAAGTGGCTAAAAGACAGAGAAAGAGATAGATAGTATATAGTGCTCTTAAGTTTAGTTTAGTCAAACTTAAGGGAAGTACATTTTAGCGACTTATAATTATATCTAATTCGGGATATTCCTCATTACAAAAATCATAATGGCCAAAATAATATACTTCCTTCCAAAAAATTGGACAATAGGGACTAGCCGAAACATAGGAAGTAATACATATTTGAAGCCATTCCAATTTATATAATGAAGATAATTTCTAGCATAGGGGTATAGCAGCATGAAATATATACAGTAAGCTATTTGTGTGCTTAATTTAAAGGGAACCTTCAGGAGGTTTTATTTATTCTTAAATTTAATTTTTGAAAAAAAAAATATGAATTTATATTTCATTTAATAGAGTATACAATTATCTTTTACAAGTTAATAAATTTATAGCTATCTCTTGTTATTCATGAGAATATAAAGTCTACTTGCCACTCAGAATTTTAATTTTGTTGAAGTGTCATATATGTCAAAAATGATTTAAAAAAATGAAATTATGAAATGATATAAAAGAGGAAGAGGTTTTTTACAGTACTCGAACACAAAATACACAGGGTGAGGACAGGAACAATTTATTTAAAGCGATGCAGCATGACAAAAATACGAAAAGCTCAAGATTAAAACTTGTATTTTAGATTTTTGCAAAAAACCTCTTTCTGAAATGAATTACGGGACTAATGCGTTCTCTGAACTGAAAAATGTTATTTTGAGTGTACTTATAACCTACCTAGTAATTTGCATCTGTTGTTAACTTACTGCACACACACTAGTTTTTAAATTAAATTATTTTCACTGACTTTATTTCAATTTTAAAGTTCGTTCTCTCGGGCTTTATATGGTTTAAAGGGTGTGAATCTACTGTGCTGTATATAAAATATTTAATCTACGTTTTTTATTACTTAGGGTATATGTGAAAGTGCATTTGTAGTAGCATTACGAAAGTCAGCATTCCGAATCATATAATATTTAAGCACTTTATCTTATTTATACTAACACATATTTAGTATGAATTTGTTTAGAGTTGAATTTTACAATATTAGATTCGTATTATTTTATATTCTCTATTTTTATTTTTAATTGAACAAAATTCTCTGATTGGAGTTTTATAAAAATAACCAATCTCATTAAAATACAGCCCTCATTATTTCACTCTTATAACAACAGTGTAACAAGCCCTTCCAAATTTCTTCGCAAAATAATTAGAACCAATTTTAGTCTCTTGGAAGGGTTTTTGTTATTTTCTGTATCTTTTTAGGATATTTTTAGATATTCAAAGAGCATATTTATTATTTTTTTGAAGGTAATTGACAGAATTTTAAACTTCATTAGGCATTGTTTTATCAGACGTTTTTAAACATACGCCAGATATATAATAATTTAATAAAAATCTAAAAAAACTTTCCTTAAATTTAATAAGCTTCATTTTGGAGCACGCTCAATTTATTCAGTATAAGAAACGAAAAATGTTCGTTTTTTATGATCTTGTAAGACAGAGTAAAAAAATTAACACAAAACTTGTTTTTAGACATGTTTTTTTAAGTGAAAGGCATCATTGGATTTTTATTTTTTCCCTAAATAGGATTCATTAGAATTAAATCGCTGGTTACAGATTGCTTTTGAAATTTATTGCTGCCATATTACAGTTGAAAGTGTACAGGTAAATAAGTTACGGGACGTTGAATAGCAAATGTAATATTAAAATCGATGAAATAATTACATTCCGTGTAATCAATATTCAACTAACAACGCTTCACAATGGAAAATATATATGTTTTAAAGTTATTTGCCGTGCTCTATCAAGAAAAAAGACACCTTCAATAATAAGAGTGGTTTATAAATGTTTATCTTAGTAATTATGCTAAAGAATAACAAGAACGACAGAGAACCATACTTTGTCCTTACAAGCAATATTAGTTCCATGTCTTTTAGTATCTCCCCTCCCTGAAATAATAATAATTATGGCAAAGACATGACAGTTTTATTCACGGGGGATACCTTTTAAGAATAGTTATAACCTTTGCGGTGCGATCCCCTGGGAAGGGTAGATGATACTTAGAATTTTAAATAAGTCCTGGGTCAAGTGGTACATCATTTAAAGCTTTCAGAATTCTTTTTCCAATAATACCCTAATTTATTATTTCCCAATCAGAGTTCTTCGAAAAATCCAGTTACTGAAGCAATTTCGGTTTTTTGGGGCTAAAAGTTTTGAGAAATAAATATTTAATGAATTTTTAAAAGGGTTTCGTAGCAAGCAAGTTTAATTTGTTTTTGTTTTTAATGTGAGTTGTTTAATTAAAGAAAAATCTATATATTTAATAATTTAAAATGTGTACCCTATAGAATTCGATATAAATTAATCTAATATTACTAGCTTAAAAAATGGGAAGTCGTGACCTTATAGATTATGTCGCCACGTATGTTAAATCTGTGGAATAAATAATTTTCACGGTTTTTTAGTTAAAGAAGTTTGGATTAGATCTTTTAAGCCGGTAATAGTTTAAGTAAGTGTAAAACCTTCCAGTACCGATTATATCTTTGAAAATCACGCTTAGCCAAAGGTCATACAGCTAAATTTTTATACTTTTATATAGTGTGACATTTCTCTTTGCTTGACATTACCTCAAAGAAATATATAAACCTGTGTAATTTTGAGAAATAACCGATTTGTATTGATATATTTATGTTAAAGACGGGTTTTGGTGGTTTTGATGTCGATTAGGACCGATGACGCAAATCCAGCAAGTAATAAATTAGCCGAAATAATTAATAACAAATTAAAATCAACGTAAAATATGAAATATTTCTCATTCAGTTTGGAAAGCAGCGATGTTCAGAGAAATCCATAAGCGCTGGAACGGCATTTATCATCGTTAGCGGTATTTTTGATTGATAGCAACCGAATGCAGATTTTGATTGTATAGGATTTAGCAAAACATTAAGATTGTTTTATGTTACTTCTAGGAATATTCGAAAGAAGAGCTACTTCAGAATGTACTTTATGATTTTAGAATTAGAAATAAAATATGTAGTCTATTTTTAAATCTTATTCTTGAAGATTAGTTTTACCCTTCTTCATAAAAAATTAAAAATATTTTTTTTTAGAAATATCAATAAAAGAAAATTCTATATAGGTTTTCCGACAATAATTCCATTTAATTCCGAGCTAAAGATTGCTTTCAGCCAAAAGGTATTATAAAAATCAATATCAAAATGGTATTATTGGTATTTGTTTGGTTTTATTAGACGCCTTTTTCCTTGGTGATTAATTTCGCACAGAAAGCCATTTTTCACCGCATGTCCCACAAGGCCTTACCTTCCTACACAGAAAACAACGTTTTGTAATTTTAATTTATCTGATTTATCGAAAAACCCATCTAAAAGGTGTGAATATAGAATAAATTGAATTTTTGGAATTTATAAAAGGTGAATCATATTTTACTTCGTTATACTTAATTTTTAAAACTGTTTTTTTAATTGTTTTATAATATACATCACACATATTTACATCTTAAAATATTTTATCCTATGAAATACTAACTCTCTGATATTGCCTAAGATGCTAGAATTACACTAGACTAACTAACTGTTTCGGAGAATTGCTTGATCCTTTTAGGTATCCTCTTAGATCACGACAGAGAAGTTTGTATGTACCTTCTCTAAAACAACCGCGCTATTGCAAGGCCTGTGGTCTCTGAAAGATGATAGCGTTGTGCTTGTATCAGTTTCTGCATAATCTTTATTAACAGTAGTTATGAAACTGGGATTTTTATCTCTGGGATCTTGGTATTTACAAAGGAGTGAGAGGAAGTGTAGGCCATTTTTTAATATACTCCTTTTTATTGTATATTATGGGTTATTACGTTTTTACGAAGTTTCTAATTTATTTATTAAAAAATATGTTACAACTATAAAATAATTAATAAATCTTGTGTAACGTGCGAAGCCTTCTACCTTATAAGCCTAGTAAAAATGCCCTACCAATCTAGCTTACCTTCAAGTACTTTAATTTTGGAGATCGTGACATCTAACAACATAAAATAAGTCATGGTAACGGCCAAAATCGTTAAGTAACTAATAAGAACGGTAAAAATCAAATAAACTACGGTTTCCTCGCAGACTTTAAGCCTCTTAGAATAAATTTAGCTTCCCGTTTTAATGTTATATTAAACGGTTTCTTTTTCAGTCCTTTTTCCATCTATTTTATGGATTCGCTGATAAAAAGGGAAACGTATCAATTTTAAATCAATAGGGGATAAATGTTTGAGCAACCCTATTTTGGGAATTTCGAGTATCATCGCTTATTTTTCGATACGCCATATTTCAAGGGCTGTAAAAAAATTCCAGCCACCTATTTTAAGAAAATTGAAAATGCTGATACCTTCTTTGCAAAAAGGTAAAGCGATAAAAAATGGATAAAGCCAATTCCTTTTTTCTTATGCGTTATAAGTTTTCATATTTTGAAGACAATATATATTTTTTATAGGGGTGCTTTTTTATAGGTGTTCAAATACACTTTGCGGAAAATGATGCAAATCAGATTGACTTAAAGAAATTTATATCAAATAATCTGGAGAAATAAAACTTAACTTGACATATATCTTGAGATCCAATTATTTCAGTCCTTGGACGACAAGGAGTTCTTGGGGTGACATTGATTTTAACGTCTCTATACAAGGCTAAAAGAAACTCTAGCAGGAAACAACCCAAATTAAATTAGCTGTAATTTAGTAATTTTTCATTCTTTTTTCCCCTTACAAGCTTTTTCTGTTGACATTAACTGTTGGTAATTTATAACTAATTAAACTAAATTATTACGTTCTACTTTTCATATTCTTTGTTAGAAAATATATTAAACTTTACTCCAGACGAGAAAAAATATATACCCGCAGTATATTTCTTAATCAGGGCGTTACGTTTTAGGAATAAGCTAAAAATTAGATTAGCTAATAACAAATAATATTACTTGTCGGATTCCGAGCTCCAGGTCCGGCTGAAATAAAATTTCCGCAATTTAAAATGAGCCTGGTAGCCATTTAGTCCGACAAAATTCAATTAGATTTGCATTAAAAATTCGGTTCGTGTTAATATTTAATTCGCTTTACTGTTCTAGTCGTACAGGGTGGTCGAAATTAGTCTGTTTTAACAGAGAAAACCTATTTGCTGACTAAATGCAAAACCGACATGACATTGATGTCATGAGCTCGATTTCTGTGACATGCTTAATGGCATAAACCGCCTCGGTATTTTCACTGACAACTGAGATATTTCACTCTTTCAGTCTTTCACTGTCAACCGAAATATTACCAAAGTGGCCATTGAAATGCCATTGTGACACCGTTTTTTTTCCATCAGAGAGCATTAAAATGTTTTTGCAGAGGTTAGTTAGTAGCAGTAGTGATCAGAAGTAGTAAATTAATTAAATCAAGAATTTTAACAGTGTGCACCAAATATTTGATACCAAATAAGAGTAAACAACAATGTAGAATAATCGTAAAAATAGTTTTCTTATATATTTCAAACATTTTGGTTTACACAGATTACTGGAAATAAAGAAATAATTTAGATTTTTTGTTAAAATATTTTAGAGATTTATTATTAAAGCTGCAAAGAATTAAAATAATTGTATTACGCAATATATCATCATGTATAAAAAATATGTAATCGTTTTACTTTTCAATTATTTTTCGTTAATTAAATTCAATTTAAAAGAGTTGCGACTAAACCGGTGCTGTTTGAAAAGTAAATATTTGGTCGAACCTTTTTAAACCTTTTTTAATTACTTCCATAACAGCCCTAATGATGTCTGGCAATTAATTGTCTATTTCCCAGCAAGCCCGTACCTATTGTTTTGCTCCCCGCATGTTTTTTTCTGAACCCACGTTAAACTGAAATATTTTAATTCTTTATTGAGCGTAGTTTTATATAAACGGGTTAATTATATTGGAAGTGCATGCACACAAATGTATATAAAAGGGAACAACACTACAAATAACGATACATTGCCACATAGCACAAATTTTTATTAGAAGTGAATACAACAATAACAGCATGACATAAAAATTAAACAAACAATTAAGGAGGAAACATCGATTTATATCATTTGTTCGAGAGAATATACAATAACAGACGGTGATTCTGATTTAAATGATTGTTAGTTCTCTTCAGATCGACTTCGTTCGCTTGAAAATATTTAACGAATATTTAACTTTCGAACGAATAATAAAAGAGACGGAGTTCTAGCTCTAACTTTTTTATTTTTTGATATAAATGATTCGTTTGACTTGCAAAATCTATTTTTCGTCTTTTTTATACGAAAATTTATATAAATCTTCGAATACGTCTTCGAAAAATATGCAATTTTTTTAGTATATATGTCTTTACAAGAAAAAAACAAATACACTGTTGCCCCAGTGGACTTTTTTGCGTTTCATCTTACAATTCGTGATATACGGTCACGCTGAAATAAAAAAACACCTAACGTTGATTTATTATTTTCTATGATATATTGGGTTTGCTTTATAAGACTAAAGAAAAAATAGCGTTCTTTTGACCTAAATCTCCAATCAGCATAGATATTGGAAAATAAAGTAAATGTAACAAAACCTGAGATAGGTAGCTGAAAGAAACAACAATAGATAAATCAGTATCAACCGTGTATTGTATGTATAGTAGCATAAGAAAGAAGAATTGTCCAAGAAATTGATACTTTTCGAACTTTTCTTTCGATATGCTTTTAAAGCAATATAAAAATATAAACAAATAAATAAACGTAAAAGATTTCTATCCCAGGCCCTAATGCATCGAAGATGCTCGAATAATCTTGTATATAAATCGAAGCCTAGTTCTGCCAGTTTGAATAGTTTACATTTGTAGGGTATTCTACGTTTTTCTTAGTAGATATATTTTATCTTCTCGGGAATAGGATTATTTTTAAAGTTAAATCACAAATACATTTTCCATTTTGCGGTAGTATTTTCTCTTTTTGGATGGTTGAGAAAATCCATAAATAATTCAATAGATACAATAGCGGATGTTTATGTTTTTATTTCAATTTTTCAAGCGGGTCTTTTTCCAAGGATAAAAATAATGTTACAAATTCTCTGGATTTTCTACACCATAATCGATGAAACCTTTATTTATTTAAATCTTAAATAGGGAACAGATCAATTCTCCTGCTACTTTTGTTTATTAGCTAGTGATTTATTTATTTATATTCAAGTAACTACACTATATACAAAATCTTAATATGTTTTAATTTTATTGGTACATATAGAACACGTTTTAAATATAGCAAATCGCTTTTGGCATCATATTAATTTACGGTATAATTTCAGATATGAAAACCGAAAATATTTCTTTTTATGTGTTGAAAAATATAAGCTTATTTTTATTTCAATAAGACTCTGATGCCACTGACATTAAAGTAAGTTTTCTATTTTCCAATATATATTCAATAAATCACTTATGAATGAAAATTTTGAAGAAAATGTAGCATATCCTCTATTATTTTTCATATAAATTATTTTCCTTCCAAAATATGCTTTATATATGCATTGAAAAATAAATTGCAAAATCTTTAGTACATGAGAAAAATATTTTGGAGAGAAATACCCTTGAAACTGCAGAATCAAATTTGACATGCTGACAACATTCGGGAACTAAATAAAATTTTTAACTGAAAATCGATACCTTCATGTTTCAATCTTATGTCATTAAAGAACTGATTTGAACGATAAAAGACTTAACAGTACATCAGAAAATTGTTTTGTAAATGGGTATTGTACAAATAGCTCAATAATTTGTAACATTATTTGTAAGGACTATTGAGTTAACAATCCCAACATCGTTTTGTACCTATCGCCCTAATTCAAGCAAAGGTCAGTTTCAACGTTACAATCCCTAAATAATCAAGCATTGTCCCAAAGAGAAATCCAGTGTCCAATATTTAATGCCGCAACAAATACCTAGTTTAAGATATTTATATTTAGGTGTAAATAAATAAGTATACTGAGATTCATTTATAGAAGCAAATAGCTTTGTGAAGAAATACCAAATTGGACCTTATTTTGATATCTTCAGACGTTTATTTATTTGTTCAATCGTTATATAATTATTTCTTTTAATCTTTTTTCCTGGCTGTGATAGCTACAGGATGATTTTCAATAGTGTATATACAGGGTGGAATAAGAAATGCAGGTAGATTCTGACTTAAAAAACTTACCGGAGCATTGAGGCAAGGGCAGGTACAATGGTGGATAGACCTGACGCTCTCCCTCGATACTGAGCGTCCAATTTTCAGTGTGGACGCCGGTGTGGTGGACGTTCTTCGCTCCAGAATGCCCCTGGTATTCGTTAAGGAGGAATATGGTGCCAGCTGGAAGGCATTGGATGAACTGCGATTGCGCGTTGGGTGCGACGAGATATTTTGCTTGCATCCTTTCACGTCTAGTCTAAAAAAATACAATAAAACTGCATTGTACCTTTATTTGGATAAACAAACATATTATGTTTGTGGGGGACCCGCCGTGGGAGATTTTTTAAAGCTAAATTTCCTTGAGAATAATATTTAATGGTAAAAAAACTAGAGCAACGTACAGCAAGGCAAAACCTGTGCAAAGTGGAGACCAGAGAAAAGAGCCATGAGATCCTGCATCACTGCCCATTGTCAATAGTAGACATGCCAATGCGACAATGGTTAGAATAGTCATTGACGGAAACAGTACTGGAAGAATTGTCGGCTCAGGAAAGTGGAAACCCTCAAAAAGGAAATTCGAGTCCTCCAACTACTAGTGTATGAGATACCTAAAATGTTCAACTTTAAGGAAGACCTCAATGTAGTATTACATACCATAAAATGGTATACTGGTGCTTCCAAAACTAAAGCAGGAACAGGGATAGGAATAGTTGGGCCGATAGCTAAATTCTCCGAACCAATGGGTACCTACCCCAGTATCCTACCCCGCTATCAACAGATGCGTACAACTTATCTTAGATAGGAACTATCGGTAACAAGAAATATCAATCTCATCTAATAGTGAAGCTGAGTTAAAAGCGATCAACTCAGTAACACTGTCCCTTCAATAAACACCTCAGGTAAATTGAAGCTAAGAAACAACGGCGAATGCAGATTCTGTGCGGAAAACCGGCTTAGATACTGGCTTTTGTCAAAGCCCTGCCATTGTTTGATGAGTTATAACTCAAGAAAGGAAGACAATAGATTTATAAGGTGATTAACTTCCTACCTCAATTACAATATATCTACAACTAACTTTTCCAAATTGGGTAATTTTTTAGGTATATTTTAAATTTTAAAGTTCATGTCAAGCCACAATTACAGTTCATCTTCAAGTCATGAGAATGCATACATATGTATGTAGGTATATATGCGACAGTTTGAATATTCAAATGTGTTTTATAATTCTCATGTATATTTTGGCCCTTTGTGTACACCCTCGTGCATCTTTATTAAAATGTCTTTCCTTAACATCCACAGGAAAATATCGATCCACAGTAACTCTTAATTATTATTGTGTTATTATTCATAAACATTATTATACATAAACATACTCAACTTTATGAAACAACGAAGCTTTAATACTGGTCACAGAATAGTTGCATAAAACAAGATTAGCTCTAAAGAATGACCGTAATGGTCCTAATTAAATCCAGAAGAATATTCCACGTCATCGGATAAAGCTGGAGCTATCAAAGCATATTAAAGGGAAAAAGTTCTGGAGAAAGCTGCCTGTTTGAGTAGCTCGGGAGCGCAAAGTGATTTACTCATCGTGAAGTTGCAAAAAGTACGCCCAGATAAATGGTCGTATCTAACCAGAATTTATAATAAGTGACTTTGTCGGGGGGAAAATAGAACAGTTCGTGCACGTTCGATGACATTCCACGTGGCTAGATTTCATTTTAATGACTCTGTATATTTTTAATCCACATATTTTACATCATTTATTTAATTTTATTGTTTACGGACACACTAAGTGGTAGAAATTATCATACAGGATTGAACCTTTGCCTAATACATCATAAATAATAATTTTAATAGTTTAATCGAAATAAACTTTATCTTAACATGAAAAATATCAAATTTGTCATATTTCAACTGTTTAATATATACAGAAATATACCTACATATTTTAACGATACGAGGCGCTAAAGTTGTCCAGCTGTTGAAATATTCCTAAAATCTGAAGTGATTATCTGAAAGGTATCCCCACGAGTTCAGATAAATCTCTTTGACTTGTCAAAACACTTGGAGCTTAAAGGACGAGCTTGGGTCATTTGAATGGGCCTTCAGTTTTAATTGTTAGGTAGTTGAGATTTATTTTCTTTATGTCCTGATGTCAAAACGGACGATTTAAATCTAAACTGATATCAGTATTTGACTGATTTTAACTAAATATTTATTTGATATATATTTACTTCTTACTTTCCAAATTTAATTAATATTGTTGTTTTAGTTCACAAATTTAGTTCAATTGAATCTAGTTTAACTAAAGGATTGTGTAATAACGTACAAGCTATACAAAGTGTCTTCAAAAGCCTTTTGATTTGGTTTTCCTGCGCAACAATAAATTTGTCAAGAGCCATTCATTAGGTCTCCAAACAAAGGCAAGCTAGTTAATGTAAATACCGTGAAATGGAGGAAACAATCGATACTATTAACATCTAGAGTTAACTATGACAATAAAACTGTCTCAGCTTTATAGCGCCTAGGGTATATCTTAAGTAAATTATGGAGAAACTCAACATTAACTCTATGCACATATGCATACAGCTTTTAGCCAGATTAATGTCAACGGTAACATGGTGATGAATCTGAGAAATTTTGCATTACAATGTATTCCATAAAATATACTTTTTCATTAGTATATCGCACATTTTTAACTTTATTAAATCCTAAAATATATTTTCATATTTAATAGAATGGTTACCGACAACTCATTCACCTCAGTATGTTAATAAAAAATAAATGATAAGGATGTTCCCGAATCTCATTTTGTTAGTTACGTAACTTTCACTTGAATAAGGCTGGAGTTTTGTAGCTTAAATTTACTTCCTGGGACTTCAACGCGTTCATTAAACTTTATATATTTAATTACGGTAAGGGTTAACGGGATCATATACTTTACACTGTCAAAAACACTATCTGATTTTGGGAGATTGTCGAAAAGTTGAAGAATGAAAAATAAATTATTAAATTGAACAAGTGGCATATATGAAAAATTAAAATTAAAATTAGTATCACATTAATTTATTTTTAAAGACAGAAAAAAAATATTTTTATTAATAAACTACTTAAATTAGAAATATTTTTTAATTTGAATTTTCATGCTGGCATTCTTTCTCTAGACGTCATTTATTAAAAATTGACATTAAACCTGTCAAATAAAGATTATTATTAAATTTATAGAAAGAATAAAAAAGGATAGCACGTTTCCAGACATGTGAATCTATTTCGATTACATACGGTACTAAATAGCTGCACATTGTGAAGCGAATATAGGAAATCAGTAAATTTAAATATACAGGATGGTCCGAACTGTATTCCGGAAACTTTGGCTGCATATTTTGCAGCTAAAAATAATTAAAAAACTTGGTATAAATGTATGTCCTATAAAATGGTTAGTTTCGAAGAGGGCGTAGAAATTTCATTTTTATTTCCATTTTTTCCAAATAATTTCTGAAGTAACGTCAATATTTAGATGAAAGTTGATGTCTGGGAGTTTTTTGACGTGAGAAATTTGATTTTGATGTCAATATATGACTTCTATTTGTAGGGGTTAGGCACCTACATGTATTTTAACTGTTTTTAAGAGTAATAACTTCTCGTTCGTACCTATATAAAACTACTGGGTGCAAAAATATAAATTTCCCTGATTTTTTACATAAAAAATATCTCTTGGAAATCGCTACGAGCAACCGTTCTCAAGATATTTAGAATGAAAATAGTAGTCAATACATGTCATTATTGACAAAAAATGAACAATGTCGGTTAGATAGTTATCTGACTGAATAGATAGATTCTGGTTACTTTTGTGGATACTTTTTATTTTTTTAAATTAATCATAAATTTTTCTTTGAGAAAATGACAATAAAAAGTTTCTGTTGCACCTTTTGGACAAACTGTTGAACCTTTTGAACCAACAAAAAACATTTCAAATTTATGATTTCAGTCTAGTAACTATTTAGTTAACATGTTTAATTTATGTCACTGTCGACAAGTATTGATAATTTCGATTCTAAATATCTCGAGAACCGTTACTCGTAGCGATTTTTACCAAGAGATCTTTTTTACGTAAAAAATGTCGTAAATATATATTTTTTTACTCAGTAGTTTTATACAGGTACGGACGAAAACTTATTACTCTTCAAACCAGTTAAGAAATATGTAGGTGGCGCCGAAATAAGTAGGAGTCATATTGACATCAAAATCAAATTTCTCATGTCAAAAAACTCCCAGACACCAATTTTCATCCAAATATTGACGTTACTTTTGAAATTATTTGGAAAAAATCGAAATAAAAATGAAACTTCTACACCCTGTATCTCCAAAACTAAGCATTTTAGGACATAAACATTTTTACTTATTTTTATCTCTAGAATATGCTGCCGAAGTTTCCGGAATACAGTTCGGACCACCCTGTATATGCAATTAATGAGTGAATAATGAAAATTTACCTGCAATGTAATTCTATGTCGGGAACAGAACGAGTGCTATTCTCTTCGAGACAGAGCGATCCGTCTTCTTCGCTGTCAGAGAAAACCGATAACTGAGGATGTTGTGACGAGACCAGAAACGTGGTGCATTCCTGTCGCATCAAAACTGGCTTGGAACAATTCGCTGGCGAGGAGGTGCTGGTCAAGGAGGGCTGGCCCACTAGTAGGCTGGCTGTCTCATCCTGACTACTCATTCTGTGATGCCCCCAGGCCTAGCCTATCTTTAAACCTAGAAAGAGACAGATAGTTTTGGTCAAGTCACAGAGTCTTATACAACTACTATTATTAACTGATTAAGGGTGGCTGCAACGACGTCCTGTAATCCTGCTGCTAAAACAGCTGGTTTTTATATATAAAAAACCAATTGTTATGTTTTAACAGCAGGATTACGGGACGTCGTTGCAGGCACTCTAAGAGGCCTAGAATATGGAATTATAGTCCTTTTGGGGCTTCACGAGTAGGGCTAGATATACCGGGTGCGTCTCAAAGGTGGCTCACCCCCTATAACTTTTTTATTTTTTCAGATAAAAAATGAGATTTGGTATGTTAGTATATGACATAAATTAAGATTGATTGACGTATTCAATTGTTTTCTGTCACTTCCTATTTCACCGGAAATGACTACAACTTTTATTTTTTAAATGGCACCCTCGGTATTTTTTTACTTTATTCGATAGAAAATAACATTCTAAATAGAATGACGTATCATATGTCAACTTTTGACAAATTCGCTCAAAAACAAATTGTAATTTAAATTTCAATCTAGAGTGCCATGGCTGTGTTAAAAACACGAATGTTTAATCAAGAAGCCTTGGAAAAATATATTTGATCGTCTAATGTTTTAGTGACTTGTCCTGGCCGGTTAGAAAATGCCCAAATTGTATTTTTGATCATATCGCAATTTTTTTCAAATGGAACGAGGGTGGTTCATTAGCATATTTCGAAAAAGCATTTTTTTACGAATAATTTTATACCACACACTTGGTATTCCGAGTCAAATTGTCGTTATGAACCGCATTTTACAATTTCAAATATTATACGTAATACCATATTATGCGAAAGTGTCATTTTCTATCGAATAAAGTAAAAAAATACTGAGGGTGCCATTTAAGAATCAAAAGTTGTAGTCATTTCCGGTGAAACCGGAAGTGACCGAAAACAATTGAATATGTCAATCCATCCTAATTTATGTTATCTACTAACATACCCAATCTCGTTGTTTTATCTGAAAAAATAAAAAAGTTATAGGGGGTGAGCCACTTTTGAGACGCACCGGGTCGGCAAAGTTCTAACTCTCGTTTTAACTGTTGTCAAAAATTGCCCGAAAACAAGGGCTCAAGAAATCGAGTTTCTGACAAAACCAAAGGATAAAACCTTTAAAGGTTACATATTCTAAAAGTATATTTAATTTGTTATAAATACTGAAATTTTCATATTTTATCACTATGTTTACTATCACATACAAGTCGCCGATTTTGATAAAGCTACTGTTATTACCTAATTAAGAGGCGTAGAATGTGGAACTATAGTGCTTTTGGAGCTCACGAGTACGGAATTAGATGTAGGCAAAGTTTTAACCATTACCAAATGTTGCTTAAAAACAAGTGTTGAAGAAATCGAATTTCTGACAAAACTAAAAAAACATAAAGCGTTAATTGTTTAAATTCTAAAAGTATGTTAAATTTTTCTATAAATACTGCAATTTTCACTATTGTATGAATATGTTTACTATAAGTTTGAGCATCTTGAGAACCGGTAAAAAATTGCCAAAAATGAGCAATTTTTCGATCTTTTTCCACACATAGTCATGAAAATTGGCACCGAAGTCACCGATTTTGATAGAACTACTGTTATTAACTAACTAAAAGGCGTAGAGTATGGTACTGTAATGCTTTGGACCTCACATATACAGTACTTGATGTTTTACTTGAACTTAAATACTTAGAATTTACAAAAATACAAGTTCATGCTTAGTTTAGTCATAATGATCAGTAATATAAATAGTTAACTAATCCTAGAGTTAATTTTATGAAAATCTCATAATCTTAACAAGTTTATTAATTTTTAAGAAGCGCTTAATAAACAAAATTTGCTTTATTAACTTTTCGTATCATCACTAGTGCATACTAGGGGCGTTTTATATCAGATTAATTTATCAGAATGACAAACGATCATATTTCAGCAGAATATTTTAATAATTAATTTTAAGCGATCCACGAAAAGTCTTTTGACATTTTGATTTATCTTTCTACCTGTCAATATATCTATAAATTTTTTATTTTTTTTTATTCTGAAGCATTTTCGGTCAATAAATTAAATGTTTATATTAAATAAAAAATCTTTATATGCATCTATACATATAAATAGAGCTGATATGGCTCTATAAAAATATAATCCTTTTATATCTCTAACCTCTAAAAGGTATTTCTGGTATTAGTTCTAAATTTTTTTAGAACAGTCGTAACCCGTGCTTTTTATAGCAACAATGTATATTAAGGAAACCATAAAAGGGAACTAAGTTAAAGGTCACACATAAAATTAATATATTTTTATAGTATATCGATCTAGAAAATTATATTTTGCTATAGTTTTTTATTTTAACTAAAATGTTTTACTAATTAAAATGATATCTTATGTTTTACCTCAAAATAAAATTGTAACATTTGCTAGTTCTGGAATTAAAAAAAAATATATTCCTTTATTTTTTAGTTTAAATTGCATCTCTGTAATATTAACCATAAAGAAAAATTACCACATATTCTCTATTCAGCAATAGAGCGATAACCAGTGCAGTTTTTCCGGAATAAGTGTTTAGAATTACCAGGATTATCAGCTGAGAAGGATTTTTATTTTGTAGAGGGCGCAATACACATCTCTTTTAACGGTAATAGGCCTCTTGAAAGTCTTATTTTTCTTGAAAACTCCGTCAAGAGTGAATTAAAAAATCTTTAATAATTTTTCCTCTTTTTTTTTATTTTATTTTTTTTTTCACAGCACTTTTGCTGGGTACGGCCAATGTTCGCGGGGTCTTTATAGACCAACGCGACCATCTGTTGCCAGTATACGTCTCACGGTGTGACAGGTTGCCAGAATGACAGCTTTTTGTGAGATTGCTACGATTTGCTTCGGGTTGCGTATGCCGATAGCCTTTAGATTGCGAGGTAAGTACTTATCTACTAACCCATTACACGATATTATTATAGGATATATTTCCACCTTTTCCAACTGATACATTCTCTTTATCTCATCCGCTAGTTCTTGGTATTTCAGGACTTTCACCATTCTTGATTTTCCTACATTTTCGTCTGCTGGAATTTGTATATCTATTACTTGCGCCTTTCTTTGCTTCTTATCAAAAACTAAGATGTCTGGTCGATTGTGACTCACCGTCCTATCCGTTGTTATAGCTAGGTCCCATAGGATCTTCCACGATTCGTTTTCTAGTACCGTCTGAGGCTGGTATTTGTAGTATGGGACTTTTGCAGTAAGGAGCCCCATTTGTACACAGAGTTCCTGATGTATTACGCCTGCAACTTGGTTGTGCCTGTTTAGGTAGTCCCTCGGGGCAAGATATGTGCAACCAGCAGTTAGGTGTTGAATAGATTCAGTAGTGGTCTGGCATAGTCGACACTTATCAGATGGTAAGTCCTCTTTTAGGATGAATTTTCTCCGGTTTCTCGTAGGTATTACCTGTCCTTGTATGGCGTTTATGAATCCTTCAGTTTCGAACATTAACTGGCCATCAGAAAGATAAGACGTTGAAAGCTTCTTATCGACCTCACCTCCGTTGAGGTTGGCTGCATACCGTCCATGTAATGGTTTCGCTTTCCATTCTTCCTCGAATTGGCTGATTGTAACTGGGATTGGTGGGGGATTCTTATCTGCAAGTTTAAGCTGTGAATATCCGTCGTCAACCTGTATTAGCGCTCGATGCAATGGCTGATCGGTACGGAGAAAGTAGTCTCTGAGGTTGGTGGTCTGTTGGTGGTGTTGTACGACTAGATTTTGTAAACCTCGTCCTCCATTTGCCCGCGGAAGGTATAATCTGGCAGTCGAATCTTGTGGGTGGTGGGACCTGAATTTTGTTAGAAGCACCCTTACTTTCCTGTCAATGCTTTCCAGGTTTGTTTTGCTCCATTTCAATAAACCAAATGTGTGGGATATAGTTGGTATTGCCCAAGAATTAATTGCCGTGACTTTTGCCCCAGAGTTTTTTTCCGTTTTAAGTATTTTGGTCACGCGTTGGAGAAAAGATGATTCGACGGCCTTTTTCATTTCAGTGTGGTCTATAATAGCGGACTGTTGCACACCAAGATATTTGTACTTTGCTCCTAGTTCGAGTCCTGCGATGTGTTGTCCTCCCCTCAAGTTGATGCCTTCGGATTCTATGATTTTTCCTTTTATCACGTTCACGTATGCGCACTTACTGATACCAAATTTCATTTTAATATCCTCGCTAAAACATGACACTAGTTCTAGCAGGCTGTGTAGTTGGTCCCTATTTGTAGCGTAGAGCTTCAAGTCGTCTACGTAGAACAAGTGCGTTAGTCGAACACTTGAATTTTTCGTTATCTGGTACCCGTAGTTTCCAGTCTTTAGCATAGAGCTAAGTGGGTTAAGTGCCAAGCAAAACCATATTGGGCTCAGGCTATCCCCCTGGAAAATGCCTCTCCGGATTTTTAAGGTGTCAGTAAGGTATGAAACACCATTCAGGTTCACCGCTAGTTGCGTTCTCCATCTATCCATGGTTTGCCGGAGGAAGTATATTACTTCTGTATTAATTTTATATATTTCTAATGTTTTTACTAACCGGGGGACGGAGTCAAACGCCTTCAGGTAGTCGATCCATGCCATTGCTATATTTCTTTTTTTAACCATGGCCTGTTTTGTTACGATGGCGTCAACTACGGTCCACTCTCTACTACCCTGCGATCCCTCCCGGCTTCCATTTTGTTCCATGGCTAGAATTTCATTTTTCTTTAGATGTTGAGTTATTTGGGCGTTTATTATAGATGTAAGTATTTTATAGATTACGGGTAAGCAGGTTATTGGTCTAAAATTCTTTGGATTTTCAATCTCTGGGAGAATCTGGGATTTCTCCCCTGATTCTTGGGTAGCATGTAAGTTACTCCTTGCGTGAAGAAAGGCGGCATCTTTTCAGGGTCGACAAGGGCTTGCTGGAACTGCCTGGACAAGATTGGGTGGGTAGCAGGAAAGTTTTTCCACCAG